GGTGCATACTGGTATGCATCCATGGGAAGGTCACTACCGCTCCATTCTGAGTGGCTTTCGGCAGCTTCCCAATGGCAGTACCACATGGATGGCAATGCTTACGGATGATGGCAGAGAAGTTCGTTTATGCAGCCGTGCAGAGATGCAGCATGCCATATCAAACTGCTATCTGTTTGGCCTATGCCGTGATTCATGAATCTGCCAGGGAAGCGACAGTGGATCATAGCACAGTGATCGAGTTGACTTTAGTCTACATTCTCATTGTGCCGACAATCTTTCTCCTGTATGCATGCGCCGAACTTTTCTACAGCTTTACGTTTGTTGAGTGATCACTGCTAATGCCTTGCTTTGTCATTCGTGACGAAGGCACTAGACTTTTAAGCTTTTGGATATCTGCTTGGCCGTGCGCGGCGGGGTATCCACACGTTTTCTGTAACTATCGGGAATGTACAAAGTACAGCTTCAAGCCGGGTATCAAAGTCTGATGCCTGTTTCCAGAGTTGCGGTCGCCAAGCGTCCATGCACCGGATGCTGCGAACTGAATGAAAAAATGCTAAGATGAGCTGCCGCATAGGGTCCTTGTTGGAGGGTTGGAGAATCTCCCACAAGTGCTTTTACGGAGATCCGCTCCAGAAATAGGTTTCATCAGGATTGGGACGAGCCTCTCGACGCTGTGGCCAAAGCTAAGGTGCCCGACCCAAAACCCCAAGCTCCGCCGGAACCCCCTACAGAAGGCAGTCGGCACAGCAATGCATTATGCGATGACGATTTAATATGACAAGAAAGCCGAAACAACACTTGGGCTGGTGGACCCCGCCGTGACCATCAGCAAAACAAACGTAAAATTTAAGCGGATGATGGCATCTGCGAGGCGCTAAGTGCTTGTCACAGGACCCCTTCTGAATCCTTCCTAGCTTGGCCTTGGGCCCCGAGAAAAGTACACATTCGGCGCTGTCCCGACGAGATCAGTGTCGCCGCGCCGCGAAACGCCAACATGGGTACTCCCCTCTGTGCCTGTTCTTGGGTTAGGATCTGAGCCATCTAGCTTATAGTATGCCTATGAACTACGAACCGAGCTGCCAAGAACCGTGAACCGGAAAGGAACGCGAACCGCAAGAACCGAACCTAGCACTTCCTGAGATCTTGCACGGAGCATAGAGCCGGAAGACTCCGACAAGATTCCGCGGCGAAGGTGCCACGTATGGGAGCCGCATGGTCTCCAGCGGCCTAGTCCATGGTTCTATTCCGTCTCGGGTTTAAGTACCCAGAAAATGCAAAAGGTTACCCCAACTATGACAAAGTGCCCAGTGCTCTAGACCTATGGCATATCTGATGGCCAGTGGGCTCAAGGCCCCAGCTGCCACAGAAACATGCCTTTCTACAGGAGATCAACGGGACCTTCAGACGTCACCTCACCCAACAGCTGCACGGACTTGCGGTCGAAGGCTTGTAGTTCATGGGAGACCAAGGTTTAGGAATCGTGCCCAGATCCAAGCTTGGTAGCTAACTTAATAACATACGGCCACTACTAAGAGGAAACAAAGTCCACATCTGTGACCGTGACTGGCCTTCGCGGGCACAGGACGGACCGGAGTAGATGGCAGCTGGGATAGCCGCAACGATCCACAACATGCTAATCTGCTGTCACGTGTGATAACTCTGGTCGTGATATCGACACGATGCTCTGATTCCCAAGCGAGTGGCACATCTGCGGACAGATACGTAGCCGCCGTGGACACATCGTTGTAAGCTTCTCCGGGTCTCACGACGAAAGGAGCTGTCCACAGGGCGAAAACCTTGTCCCTACAGTCCCGTGGACGAAAAACCCCTGACTGGACGACGAGAGTGGCCTAAGGCAGCAACCGGCAGAAGGAAAGGCCTACGAGGCTGCTTGAGGGAGCAGCCCAAAACGGCAGTGAAGAGAAAGGCGCCAGGCAGTCGGGCAGCGGCTCTTCTTGCTGGAAACAACTCCAAGTTGTCCAGTATCCTGACAAAACTAAAGGTACCCTTACGAACTCCTTTTGTCGCCATGCGGTGTCCCTTCCTTTACGAGCATCGCTTGCAATGCCTGGTGGTTTGTTTATCTGTGATGGATTTGCTTCCTCGGTCGCTGCTGAGTAGCACCCACGGCACCTTAAAGGATCTTGCAGACTCGCGCGGGCTACTATCCTTAACGTCATGTTCAATCGTGCGGCCAGATCGAAAACGTCCCTCTGCGAATGGGCTGCATCCTCAAGACCATACCGTTCCCCTTCGGCCATGAATAAAGGGCCAATCTTCACTGATTGCATGTCGCGTTCGGCAACAAACCAGGGAGGGGCGATGGCCCTTCACCCGTGTGCCCAAAGTGGGCGGGGGGTTACAAGAAGCCGAACGCAGGCCCCGATTGCCGGGACTAGAATGACGACAAATACCTCCGCAACTTTTCTGCATCATGCGTACATGGACTCACCCATCACTTTCGAGGAAGGGTGTTCACGATTGGGCTGCGCCGAAGCAGAATCTGCCACAGTGCCAGCGCCGGCGTCCTTCCAGCTTGGCCGAATACAACCACTCCTGCAAGATGTGAAGAAACTCAAGAGTGCTGCGCCGCCTAAAGCTCTACATCGAAGTCGCGCAAAACTCGGGTCATCACTGCGCCTTAGTGAAGGCATCTCAAGATCCGCCCGTGGCTGAAGTACTTTGCACCGACCCGGGATTTATTTTGGACCCAAGTCAGGGGCCTGAGCAGCTCCATGGGATTTGGTTCACAGTTTCTTAAACCGAAGTACCTAGGCATTCTAGACCTGGCTGCTTTGACGGGCTTGTTGGCTTATTCTCTGGGCAAGGTTTTGTGCGGACTTTTTCTACATGTGGAATGGTTGGCCAGTGGTGCGTGCGAATTTGTGCGCGGATTTTTGCGCCGTTTTTGCTTGAGGGAGATAGAATGTTAGGAAGATCTGCGGCAAAATCCGCGAGACAATTCGCAAGAACATCCACGAGACAAACCTGCAGGGGCATGCAAAGACAGCCGCAAAAACTTCACTGCCCAGACAGCCAACCCTGAGGCTTAGGGTGCTGCGATTGCCGCTCGACTTGCAGACGGCATCTCCGGACATCTGCGACTACAGTTGAATGCACAAGCATCCACCGGGCCGGCCACCGGTTTCTGCTGCGCAGTGTAGTCCCTGAGTCTCTAAGAGCACGCCCTGGAGCGGCGATGTTGCAATGAATTCTGAGCGGTGAGGGCTAGGCAAGCCTCGGGCACGAGGCCCTGGGCCGTTATGGGATGGAAGGGAGGCCTGTCAAAGACACCCCTTTTGCCTTTGTGGCCTCTTGGGATTCTCCGAGCCACGTCGACGAAACTGGATGCTGGCCACTCCAGTTCCTTGCAGCTGCTACGTCCTATTTGGCCGAGTCGGACTCAGTCCAGCCGACCCGGTGCCCTTTCCCGCCACGAAAGCTGTCGCGCAGCCGTTCCATGGGCACATGTGAAGTTGAATGGCCGACGCAGAGGGGTCCTAAAGCAGTGCAATCAGTGCAAAACTCCGTCTCTATCGACGGTTACAGCTGCATGCACCGTATCGTTGAAATGTGCTGAAGCATGCACGGCACTGGTGCAGTAACGCCCTGTTTCCAAGAACGGCTGACAGCAGAACTGCACCTGCGGGTACAGAAGCTGGTGGCACCCCGGAATTGCATTTCTGCAGTGGAATCACGAGCATGGACTAGCGTGGCGACAAGCACGTGCATCTCTCCTCACGAATCCAGAATTTGCGCGATACCCGACGATGCAACGAAGACTGGGCACCAAACACGACCCTCATTCCCACGGCCACCGGATGGAATGATCTCAAAAGGGTCCTTCTGCAGCTGATCGCAGATCTACGTGCAGCCCTCATGGACCTCCCTAGACCACTCGGGCTTGGAGCGGTTGCACATGGACACGCAAAGCTAGGGCCCAACCTGCCGCTCTGCTTCTAAAGAATTGAAGTGCAGCAACCATCAAGGGGTGCAGTGGGGCACCCATGTGCATGTAGTGACAGGAGTGCTTGAGGCTCTGTACACAGGCTCTGCAACGGCCGATGAGGTGCAGCTCAAATTCAAAAGCCAGTGCGTGGGATCAGGGCACGCAGCCCTGAGTCTAGAAGTCCAGGATGGGCTTGACATCGTGAGGACCCGATTTTCTGTCCACCTGCACTCCGACATACTCCGACTGTGCGAAGTAGGGCTGCGTCTGGCAGCGTGGAGCAGGGCTGGCAGCAATTCAACAACCGAACATCGCAGATCTCAGCCTGGCCATACGGCATACGTGCGTTAGTTTGTGATATGTGGGTGTGTCTCCAGCTGAAATGAAAAGAAACAACAGAGTTCCCTCATTCCCCAAGCTGTGGAGTCATGTCTTCGGACACGCAGTCCAACAACTGGGGTGAGTCACAGAATCAAAAGAGCAAGAAACTTAAGCTTCGTGCGCTTCCTTCGGGCTGCTTCAAGCGAAGGCGTCTCGCGGGCCTAAGGTCTAATCGTGGAGTGGCACCGGCTGCTGGCTTTCAGTCTCGACGCACAGGCGAGAGGCCAAGCGTGCCGGGCAGACAACGCCGGTATGAGCGGCTGTGATGCTGCTTGCAAGCTGACCGTCCCCGGCTGCCTGCCTCCCGTGTTTGCCTCCATGCTGTACTGGCGAAAGATATCCTCAAAGTGGGGAGGCGATTCGCAGCCCCCGAGCCCTCAGCTGTGGATACGATCATGAAGTTGGACACCGTCTTCTTGGAGTACATTCGCGGGGACCATATTCCTTTCCGGGAGAGACTTCGACTCAACTGTAGCGGAGTCCGGGAAGCTCGTCCTGTCCCGGTGCCGGCCACACACAACAGTCCCCAACAGGGGTTCCCTTAAGGGTAACATAAGGGTAATAGTACAGGTTTTTTTTTTTTGCACGCCTTTTTCCATCTGTTTAGCGCGGCTGCTGCTTAACGTCCGGAATCCGCATTTGCGGAAGGCCTATGCCCCTCTTGACCTTCTCAGGCTTCGTCACGTTCACTTCGCACATCCGAACTTTCTGATTGCTGACGATTCTCATGGGTCTCCTGGCTCTCCTGCTGAACCGCTGTCTCCAGTGAACTGTCCAAGACCGTACCCTGCTCCGTAGGCCCTTGCAACCCTGCCCATTGACTAAGAAGCTCAGACTGTGCCTGCACATACTCCTCGGATACATCCCAAAGCACTTCTGACCCCAGCACCGTGGCAACTTGTCGTAGTCCCGATTCTCGAAGCTGCTTGAATCGGCTCAACCACTCCAAGCCCTGTCTGTCGCGGATTTGCGAGTCAGTGAGTTCTCCACGGCACCAGTCCACGAACGTCACCATGACACACGACATCGGAACTCGTGGTGGATCCCGCTCCATTGGTGCATCCGGGATCAGTGGACATGGCTCACCCGGGCTTGGATCGCTACGCATGTCGAGTTCGGAGGCCAGGTATGGTTCAATGGATTCAGGCCCCCAGCCACGCCATAAATAGAAGAGTTGAAGCCAGTAGGCATTGAACCCATCTCGTATGCTTCTGTCACTTCTCCATCCGGCCTTCCATTGTCCGAAGATGCTCTCAAAGAGGCAAAAGCGGATGCGCGGCTGGCCAGCCCTCATCGCAGGGCTCTGCGGAATGACCTCCTCCACCTGAGTCTCGTCATCCCTTGCCATCATTTGTTGGGCTTCCAACAGCTCCAGCACATCTTTGCCATACATGCGCTCGATAGTTCCTGAACTGGTTCTCCCTGCTCTCCACTCTGCGTACAGCGCCTCGTACTCATCAAACTCCAGATGCGAGAGCAGGTTGGGTTGAGAGCTCTGTTGTGCCCCCATACTGTCATGGGAGCCCACTGCTCCGGATCCTTGCTCTCCGTGTCCAGGGGACGGCACTCCAACCGTCGTGACTTCATCCGGATCCGCCTGGTAAGCCGCCCGCAGGGTCATGTGCAGGGCCGTGCCGTCTTCCGGTACTTCTGCCGAAAGAGTGTGCAGAGTGCGTGCACGGTCACCAGATCCACTCGCCAGCTCAATGGTAATCACACACTGGCGCTTAGTCGGACGCCTCATTTCCTCCTGCATCTGCTGGTCCTCTTCCCTCTGGAGGTCACGGGCTTGTTCTTGGAGAAGCCGGGCCTCCTGTTCACACAGCAAGTCGTGCTCCGCCTCCAAGGATTCTCGTTCTCGAAGCTCCCGTTCCATCAGCTCCCTATCATCCCTGGCTTCTTGCTCATCTTGCAGCAACTGGTCCAAGTCAACTCCACCCTCGATTGGCCCCGTCACCCCAGGGGCCACCGTGTCGTTCAAGCTACCAGTCTGTGTGTCGACAGGCACCGGCATTCCGTAGCCCTGGAGCAAGACCCCCAGCTCTCCATACCATCCAGATAGCCACTGAGTATCAACAGCATCACATCCGGAGTCGTCTCCTTCAAAATCTGAGGGCTGCATAGCAAGCAACATCGCCTCCATTTGCTCACACCATTCCCCACGAGGATCAGCACAACCTGCCAAGCCCTGTCGTAGACGTCGAAGATGTTGCACTCGTTTCGCTTTGCCTTGCCCCGACAGTTCTTTTTGGAGTCTGACCATCGCTCTCGCCCATCGCTGTGAGTGCCCCGGCGCAAACATCGAGGAGAGGGAACGTTGCATAAGATTCGTGGAGTCCCCGTCTTCACCCTCCAGCTCCTCAGCCTCTTGAGTGCCCTCACCTGTCCTTGCAATGGCCTCCGCTGTGTCCAACGTGAGGGACACCTCGCTCATGAGGTAGCGAAGCACCGTCACAAAAGCGACCGTCGAGGTAAGACGGTTGGCAGGACACATCCCTTCATGCATGGCCGATACATTCCGTAGAGTGGAAGTCGGAAGGAAGCTAGTGGGGACCCGTGCTCGTCCTGTTGGGTTGTAGTCGAAGGTGTTCCTGTCAAAGAGCAGGTGCCTCCACAAGCAGACAGCTTGGTGTTGAGTCATCGGCTCCCGTAAATTGGGGAGGCCTACTGGATCTCTACGACCAGGCCCATCACGGCTCCCCGATGCTGGTTCCGTCGGGGCGGGCGCCTCATCCAAACGCACGGTGACATACTCATCGCTCCTCGCTGCCCGCCTGGGAGCCCCCGATGAAGGTACCGGACGACGATCATGTCGGTCTGGCCGGCGGCTCTCTTCACGTAGTGGTCGACTGGTGGTGTCCGGTCTGGAAGTTCTCCGTGGTGTGCGCGAGTCACGTATCCTGCGCCGCCCATTGCGATACCTGTTGTCCATGAGACTAACCTCGTCCTCCACCACCGGGAGCTGCAATGACCCGCGATCCCGGTCCTGGACATAGCAGAGGTGAAGAACTCGTTCAGCAGCTTCAGCCCAGTTACGAAAGTCCAGTGGCGAGACCTCTGTGTCAACCCCCGCGCTGTTTGGAATGCCGACCGACAAAGTCTCCAGGGGTCGATTGGCCCAGTTTTGGTACTGACTATCAACCCTGTCCCTGACAATCCCCCGAATCATCATGATGGTGATGCCGACCGCCCTGCCCTCTTCGAACCAGCCCCAAAAGCGTTCCATCAAGTCCTCCCATTGCTGAGCAAGGCCAGGAGGTAGTTGGAAGAGATGCGTCTCGTCAACCTCCTCATCCAGGGTGTTTTCGCGAGAACGATCCGAGGCCACATTTGAGCTCCCCCTCCGGGGTGTACGACTGCCGTCACGGCCAGTCGAGGATGCGGATGCCCTTGTACCCCATTCTAGCCGATCACATTCTTGTCGGGCCCTGGTGTACTCCTCGAGGATCTGCCGGACTTCCTCGGCCTGCATGTGTGCCGGCTGCACAGTCCACTGCCATCGATGGAAGAAGGTTTCAAGAACCCATTGGACCCTTCCCTCAAGCTCCTCCATTCGTGGGGTGCCCATTCTACGGAAGACCGGATCCGACAGGGCAGGTGTATGTTCCCGAAGTTGGCGACAAGTGTCCATGATGAAGGGAGGGTTGCCCGCCCCTCCAAAGGCCTCGTCCACCCTGAATCAGGTCTTCGACATCTGCTCCGCGGTCCAGGTCAAGCTGACATCTTTCCACCACGTCTTGAAACCAGTACGGCTCGCGTTGTCCTTCCCATGGCAGGTCTACCCCCCGCCCAGTCCTGGAGGCGAGCAAGGCCAAAGTCACCGACGTCGAAAAGAGACCCGTTTCATCGGACATCTCCTCAGCTCGTCCATGTTCAGCTGGAGTCTCACCCTCATTTGGCCAGGCCCCCATACCTGCCGTTTCTGCACTGCTGCCCGGCCCAGGCTGTGCCGTAGTGCCCCAGGTCCCTGTGGCAGGGTCAACCCATGTTGCGTGGAAAAGCCCATACGGGAAGTCCGAAGAGGATGAAGAAGAGGCTGGAGCAGCCAGCTCAGCCAGCACCCTGGAGTCTTCTGTCATATGTCGTATGACACCTCGCGGGCATTCACCAGCCTGAAGTCCGGAGTCAAGGAAGTCCTGGAAGCAGGCAAATTCGATATCCGCAGCCCAAGCAACCTCCGACGGAGTGAGGGGTGCCGTGTATCTTTCATAGTGCAGGCTGGAGGAGAACTCTTGCCGTAGATCCTGCAGGTACTGCCGACACCATTGACGGTAGAGCTCGTGCCCTCTGTGTTGTATGCGGCGAAGAACCCCAAGCCAGACCGGCTCCTGCCCTCCCCCTTGGGCCCGAAGCTGTTGCAGGCGTGCTTTGGCTGACTGTTTCCACTGACACTCCCTGTTGGAGATAGCCATGCTGATCTTCTCCCTGATCGCTGCCCTCTCGGCGCGGAGAATCGTGTTGTCCGAGATCCCCACGGGGTGCAGCTCCCGCCGATCGTGATCAGCAGGTCCCGAATCGTTACCAAGTTCTGGATGTGGTGGCAAACCATGTGCAGCCAAATGCTGCCCACCTTGAGTTACATCGTTGTTTGAATTCGACATTGCCATCCTGAAAGATGTGGCGCTCGTCGGGTGTGCCACGTGACTGCCTTCGCCGTCCTTGGGAGCGGCCTGGCAGTGGGCGGCCCAGAGGGCCCATACACGAAGGATACGAAGTGCAGCCATGGCTGCAAGAAGAGGGTGCTGCGAGAGCCTACTCCTGGAGCTCAATCGCTGACATCAGGCCGAACAGTCCTTCACAAAGCGCTCAGCATCCAAGCAAGGCAAACAGTCTGTACAACCCTCCTACCATAGTACGATTCGGATCCTTCACTGCATGCAGGTGGACACATCGACGAGAAACAGACAAATAGTAAGAACAAAGTTCGATGTGACCCCCCGAAGGCGAAGAAAGAACGAGTAGACACCTTCACGGTAACGAATTAGAAGCTCCTATCACTGTCCATTTCACTAGAGGTCCCCGATGGAGAGCTGCCTTCCCGATGACCACGGTACGTCCATGTGTCGCACCCAAGCATCCTCCCTGGCCCTCCATGCCCTCCGATCATGTGCGAGTGTACGCCATGGTGTGCCTGCTACTGCATCAAGGTTCTTCTCGAGTACGGTGAGTCGTGCATAGTGGTGCCCTGCGTGCTTGATTCCCTTGGACTTGCGAGACTGCTGCCACTGCCACCAAGGAAGGGTTCTAAAATGTTCAAACTCACAGCTAATCGGGGGTACTGGAGCAAGAGAAGTTCGGACTCGATGCCCCGCAAATCGCCAATATCTGCGAAGCCACACCGTACTCCACCTCTCCACCCCTGATGCATGCAGAGCTGCACGCGCCCCACGAAAGGCCCTCTGCCGAAACTGTTCCCACGATTCGTGGGGTGCTTTGGCGAATCTGAGCAGCCAGACCATGAGCTGAAGTTGGGTCGCATTCATAGCTGTCATGCCGGCTTTGTCTGGCGGCACCGCACAGATGAACCACAGAGCAGTCGCCCCGACAACCCTCTGGAGAACCCTAGCCCTCTCCTTCATGTTCCCTTTCGCCCTGAAGATGTGTCGGAGCTCCCAGAACTTCGATCGTGCCCTTGTGGTAGCGGGAGAGATAAGCTCATACACCGACATGCCAACCCTGAGGGTGAGACCCATGACCTCCAATTGAGAGCCCGCTTCGACCTTAACCCCGTCAAGGATAATGGAGTGTTCACCTTCTACCTTGGAGGAGGCATAGAGCTGACATTTGGTGGGGTTCATCTTGAGACCATACTTTGCAAATTCGACAGACATCCGTTGAGCACGAGTCTGGACTACAGAGATCAATCCATTCCACACCATTCCGTCGTCCATGTAGAGCATTTCTTCTGGCGGGAGATCGGGAAAGAGGGGAGGCATTTCCCGCCACCGATGAACCTCTATCACATCCGCCAGGGCAAGCTCTGCAACATAGGCGAAGAAGGTGGGAGACTCCACCGCCCCCTGCTTTATCCCCCTAGTCATCGCCACCCTGGAGGATCCCCACGGAGTCTGGAGCAGTCCGGTTGTGCCCCTGAGCAGACCCTTCCAACAGTTGAGTTCGGCACCCTGACCTATTCTGGATTCGAGACGAGCAAGAAGCGACCCTCTGTCCAAACTGTCAAACGCTTTCTCTAAGTCGAGCTTGAAAATCACCAACGGGTTGCCCCATTCACGTGTGAGTTCAAAAAGACGTATGATGGTGTACAGAAAGTCTGCCGTCTGTCTACCTGGACCAGAACATTGTGCATAGGTCTGCGGAGAGATGCAAGGTAGGGCTCGGTTTAGCAGAAGACGGCTGAAGAGCTTCGAGACTGCCGAGCCCATAGCAATAGGCCGAAGCTCCTTTGCTTTGCGAGGGGCCCGTATCTTAGGAAGCATGACCATCACCGGCTCGTTCCACTTGGCAGGTATCTTCTGGCTAGTGAGAATGCTGTTGTACCATGCCAAAAGATGTTCTTCCCCTCCAGGTGTTTCCATGATCCCCAAGACCAGTTCCGTAGAGGTAAGATCCGAACCAACCGCCTTCCCTTTTTTGAGCTGTGCCACCCCTGTTCTCAACTCTGCTGTGGTGAAGAGTGTGACTTCCCCTGTCCACATGTCATACTCCGGGAGTTCATTGCCTTTGTAAACTTCGCTGAGGTGTGTGTGAACTGCCTCGTGTGGGTCTCCATGCTGGGCCTCCGCAAATCCAACATCCCACCTCTCCTGACGACGAGGTCTGAGTGCACGGAAACACTGCCAATCTCCCTGACTAGCACGAATGAGGCGCTCATGTTCCCACTGCTTCCGGTGTGCCCTCCGTAGTTTAAGCGCGGCCTTCCATGAGGCCGCGGTACCTGCTCGCTTGGCTGCTCGGAAGGCCTGCTTCACCTCATCAGAGTCCCGATATCCTCGGCCTGGGGCAGGTCTCGTGTGATCACGGGCGAGTTTCCACCTTTTCCTGGTCCAACTCCGTGATAGCCTCCAGGCCCCCTTTCCAAACCCTGGGCTGTGTCTCATACCGTGTGAATTCTCTCTTGGCCTTGACAACAAAGCGACCCTCGCAAAGTTCATGGTCTGTGCCAATGTGCATGTGCGAGTCCTCATGTACATGCCACGAGTCAAAGCGGAGTGCAGAGTAGGCCAGAACGTCAATGCACTGCCCCTCCCGGTTTGCAGCCCTGGGCCTACTGGTTGGTGTAGAAAGCTGCGACTCCGATGGTGTTCCAAAGCTCATCCCCCGTTCTGCGAGCACTTTGTGGAAGATGTTGCCTTTCCCTTCCCTAGCCACAGCAGTGATCTCAGCACCGTCCTTAGCCCACCCAAAACCCGTGTTGATGTCCCCCGCGAAAACGACCTTGGTGGCTGTACGAGGCAACCCTGCAAAGTGAGCATGCACTTCTTCCTCAAAACCATTGACCGTGGAGCCTGGGGTAAGATGACATGTACCAATCCATACTTCAAAGGTCCCTTCCAGCATTCTGAGCTTAAACCAGGTTCCCTTGGTAGTGTGCATCTTGCGGAGCAAGCTCCACACTCCTGTGTCGTACCAGATACCCGTACCACGCCATTGATCTTCATGCTGATGTGTGACTACCCGTCTCCCTGCCACTTCCTGGTAGCTCCACCCTGTCTTGCTCCGTGGGACCTCCTGCAGAAGGACAAGCTCCGCTTTTTCAAACCCTCGCTGCACCGTGGTTCTCACTGCCTTCGGCAGCGACGACAGCTCTGCACCACCAACGTTCCAGCTCAACACTGAAAAGCGACTGTCCGATAGAAGCTCTTTGCTAGAAGAACCCTCAGCAGAGCCCGAACCAGGCAGTGTCGGCATACGCAGCTGTGTGGAGAGATGGGCATCCTTCGGCTCCCCATCTCGCTCTCAGAATTTGTGTTCCGAGAGTAAAGCCTGAACCTCACTCAGGTCTTTCTCAACCCAGCGGGAGAGAGTACGCTCGTCGATCCATCCCATGCCAGCCCTCGTCTCCACCTGCTTGGGGTGTCTAACATCAGGCGGAGCCTCTCCAAGGCCAGAAAGCTGATCTTCACGTAGCCAGGTCCGACCAGTGGGATACTCCACATCCAGCTCTTCCATCCTGTGCACTGCATGCCTCTGGACCACTTTGCGGACCGCAGCTGCAAGGGCAGCTTTACCTCGTTCTTGAGGGGTCTTGCTGAAGCTACACCAAAGAGGCCGATCCGCTCCTTCAAGCGAAACCTTGCTCCCGTTCACGACCTGGATCACCTCCATCATCCTGCTACGCGGCTGGGACTCATCCTCTGTCGCCCGCTTTCGGAACTGACAAAGAGCCACCGATCGCCGAGCTCCAGTGCAGAAAGGTTCCGAGTCAAGGTGGGATTCGAGTTTCAAAGCACTCAGAGCTTGACGAAGCTGATGAAGGAGGGTTGCCTTGCGAGTGTTAGCAGCCCAACCTCCGAAAACCAAGGTGTGTCTGCGATCCGGTCCTGACGTCGATGCCCCCGGCCCCTGAGTTTCGAGCTGCGATACCCTCGCGGCAAGATCCCGAAGCTGCCCTTGGACACCTTGTACCTCTGCCCCTTGGCTCTGTACCGTGCTCTCAATCAAGTCCAATCGCGCAGCTTGACGTTCCTCGAAAGCTGTAAGGGAAGATGAAATCTGGGCTTGCTGAGCCTGAAGAAGCTGAAAGCTTTGTTCCTGCAACAACCCTCTGATGGCCTCCATTGTGATGCCCTCCACTGACGGTGCCGCCTTAGTTCGCTTGGCCGGGCTGTCCTGGCGCCCTTCCAGCCCTTTGGCTTTGTGAGATGCATCGTCGTCCAGATCAAGATCCGGCCCGTCCGGAACCCCCAAAAGACCCACCTTGATCCCCGGGAGAGCAGTCATCACCGAGCTATTCTCGAGGAGCCCACTCCAACGAAGAGGAATCCCTTCACCCCCAATTTGTTCAGGAAGTCCCGAATCAAGCCCTCACCGATGCTCGGTCTGGAAGCCCACCTAGGTCAGCCCCCGCAGGATCGTGCCGAAGCCCTCGAGCTGCCAAGGCCCCCGACTATGGCACCTGACTACCCCTGTTGGCGGCCCAGGGACAGTGGGACAGTCCGTTGAGCCTTGAGCCAAAATGGCTTGAGCCACAGGGTTTTAGGGTTTAGGGTTTCAGGGGTCCATATACTCAGGTAGTATATACATAGGTCTTAACTGGAAACAAGATGGCAGAAGCGATGGCGATAGGACAACCTCGCTGTCAAGAGTTAACGCTGACACACACACCCGCAAGTGCACTCGCGTTCAACACCAAACTTGACAGTCTGCAGGCATCACGGAATCACCGCATCATGAGCATGTTAGATGCAACGAGTGGGCAGGGACCACATTGTGAGCACTAGCATTAAGGGACATGCCGAGAAGTCGTGCACTCAGACAATCTCGACCTTGCGGGCCAGAGCCCGGCTACGTCCAGCACGCGGCAAGCCTTGATGCCATGGACACACTTGATACTCTGGCACACAAGCTGTGTGTCATGGCCGTCGAGTGTTGCTGAACACGTACACTGCCGTCATTCCACTCAAGTCTTGCCACAATACCAAAGACCCCGTCTTGCCCATCGAGCTCGCCATCAATAACGGTCGCTGTGCGCCCGAGTAACATGTGTCTAATGAAGAGGGCATGTTCAGAAGCAGAGAGCCCGAATTACTGCACGAACTCGCTGCAAAGCGATTGAGGCCCGAAGGCAGAGCACAAAGATGCACGGGTCAAGGAGAGAGGCATTCGAACTGGCAGCAGAATTGCAGAAACCCGGTTTCGACGGAGGCTAGACTCAGATCTGCTGCTTCACTTGAGGTCCTGAGCAAAGTGTCGACCTCGATGCGGACAGAGAGCCGGCTGCAGGTGCTCACGAAGCTCGCCTCAAGAGCGAGGGCCCTTTGGGCCCGGTTTAGGGTTTAGGGTCCCAGTATCGTTAGAAGTAAGAGTAGGTTTGCGCTCCACGTGCAAAACGGGTAAGCCGCAGGTCTGGAAAAAGCAAGGGCGCTGGCGGGAGCTGCCAAGGGTGCTATGTTCAGTCGGTTATGTTTGCACCCGTCGCCGGCGGAAGAAGTGGAGGGTGTTGCAATTATAACAAGGGACCCCGACATAGTGCTATGATTGAACTGACTGCATCAAAGGCCCACGTCGCAGTCTTCTCCAGCTGAGGGAGCATGGAAAAACACCACCTATCACTATCTGTTTGACCCTCGGTATTGCCATCACATGGCCTTTACTCTGGTCGCTTTGCAGGAAAAACGGCATTATGACTCTTGTTTGCTCTTATCGTTGTTACAAGCCAAACACAGCTTTCTCTTAAACTCAACAGCAGTGTCTGTCTAGCATCCCTCAGCAATGCTTCGGGACACCTTCGAAGACAAGAAGTTGAGAAGCCCCTCTTCAAGCCCGGGACGTGGCGTTCAAAACATCCATGCGGTTGGAGGATGTGTGGGTGGCTCACGCTGGCATTTTCATGCAGAACAGCTTGCTGTTGCGCGATGAAACCAACATGCACTTCTGCATCACACGGCACCTCTACTGCAAACTGCTGCGCCTTCGCAAAAACCTTTTCGAATTTCCCCGTTTTCACCTGCTGAAAAAACCGATCGCTTCAGCACCAGCCGGAAACGATTCTTCCCTGTGTTTCCTACGTAGCGGTGCGACTCCATGCTCTCGTCGGCCTCTGGTTGTAGCACTCTTTAAAGAATGTGTTAGGACTCCACTCCGAACTCCGATAGCCGAATTAAAAAGCCTCAACCAATCTACTTCTTTCTGCTTGAGTCTTACAGGAAGGACTGGCTACCCGAGCCGATTCTCCTGGCACACGCAGCTCCTGAGATCAGCTGATCATCCTTCTGCAGCTGCACACCGGCGAGCATTACTCTGAAGATGCTGTGCCAGACAGACTTGCGCTCAAAGGCCGAGGGGCCCATTGTACTATAGCTATAATAAGGAACCCCCAAAATAGTATAGGTAATTATTGAGGCCCTTATATTAGGTTGCAGCTGCACGTGGAAACGACTCCTGTCAGAAGGGTCACCTGCAGACAGCGTCGGCCGATGTCGGTACTGGCACGGCCTGGCTCCCCACACAGCATGCTACAAGAAATGCCAAAAGTCTGAGAAATCCTATGTCAACCCTTCTGCTGCAACTCACTCGGCCATGTCTGCATGGACCGAAGTGGTATTGCAGACCTCTTCGCGATGCCTCCAAAAGCTCTGTCGACGTTACGGGCCGTGTTAGATCCCGGCATGTCCAATACTTGCCACCGGACTCTGCCCAATGCCGCTTTCTGGATCTTAGCCTCGACATTTCAAGTGAGATTGCGCTGCCAAGCAAAGCGTGCCGAAGGCTGGCGCTGCATCTTGGCAGAACTCTGAGCTGTTTGTCTAGAAAGTAGATCCCCTAATTTGGGGCCCTATACTACTAAGGGTACTTTATAGGAACCCCCATTAAGGGATCTACTTTGCCCAAACACGAGCTTCGGCTCGACTTCAGGTCACGCCGGGGCTTGGGTTGGGCGCTCGGGCCGCAAGAAATGGTGCAGCCTCTGCACTCTACACTGCGCAATGGGTCAGAGATGGTGGGTACCTAGGCTTAGAGCTTCGTTCTCAACTTCTTCTTTGGGCTGTAGATAAGTGCGGTAGTCTGCGATAAGCCTCCATAGAGGGTGAGATGCAAACACACAAGGACACATCCTCAGATGAAGACCATGGTAAAACCATTGCAGGGGCATGCCTGGCGAAGCATTGAAGCGCTGATCTTCCCTGACAGGGCGAGTGCAAAAACCAGCTGAGGCCGTGTCTTGTGTGCTTCCTGCCTACCTTGCGCGACTTGCTGCTACTGTCAGAGCTGATGATTGCGAAGCTGCTGAGTCATCAGCTCAGAACCGTCTCGTGAGTTCCATGGTTTTCATCACATGTCGCTTGCCTGGCAACGAATTGTACTTCAGTAGAGGACTATAATCACCCACCAGGCATTGGGTAGATCAACCCTCATAGCAACCGTAGCTTTCAATGGTGAGAGATCTTGAAAGAGCTCCCACGATCTACGAGACAAGCCCAAAGACTTGATTAAAACTTGCTTTTCCAAAAGACCTAAATCTAAACCCCTAATAAACGTCTCCCGAACTTTTCTAAAAGACCCAGAGCTAAACCCCTAATGAACGTCTCCCGAATCTTGCATGGCAACAGTTTTGAGACGCTCTCCGTCAGAGCTGGCCCCATTTCGTCAGACTAGACGAAAGGGAAACGGCGAACCTTTAGGGTTTTGGGTTTTGGGCTTAAGTTGTAGGATCTACGAAATAACAGGGCGCAGTTGTTAAAGTTCACGGGGGCCGATAACCTGTCAAAGGCGACGGCTGAAGACTGCCGAGCCACAACAAGCCTTCGATGCAGCCACAGAGCGCCCTGTCAGATGGTAACCTGCCTCCAACGCTCCCAATATCTCACCATGGATATGTAAGCAAAGAGGACCAGGGCACCTCCCCACATGCAGTGCGCAAGTGCAGGAGCATGGCATGCAAAGCGTCGCAGCGCCGACCTTCCGGCAGACATGCGGTTCCTCTCCCAGCGGTTGGCCTCACAGTGCCTAAACGGCCTAAACCCGCTCAAGCCGCTTCTTGTGTGCTGCCTGCCTACTTTGCACGACTTGCTGCTATGCCAGGATGGATGAAAAGGAACTGAAGCGTGATCGTTGCGTAGCTGTTGAGTCACCCAGCTCAGAAACGGCTTCTGTGATTTGGTTTAGATCACATGTCGCTCGGACGATCTTGCGCCTTGTGGCGAAGTCAAGCTCCTGCCCAAGCCCAGAAGCCTGAAGCCAACACACCACAATCCACAACCGGCCTTAGCTTCGGCCCATTCCCTCCAGGTCGCACCGCCCCTTTGCCCTTCCGCTGCAGGTCTACACGGAGGAGAACTTGGTTGCAGTGTGGGCTTAAGGCTGCTCCTGGGCTCCTATTAGGGTCCGGGGTTTAGGGTTTAGGGTTTAGGATGGTTCGGAGCTTCAGGAGAAGCTCCTAGATGGTCTCAGGTCTAGGAGTCTAGGCGCCGGATCCTGAGAGGAGCCCCAAGAGCGGGAGCTCGTGCAAGTGCTGCTCTCATATTGGGCTCAACTTCATGCCTTGTCAACTTCAGCAGCTGATAGCTTTGCCCATGTGCATGAGCAACTACAGTCAAAAGGAAACGATGCACGCGTCGGCCCCAGTGATGCGGCAGCATAGGAGGCACATCCACCGCAACAACATCTCGGTGCTCCAAAGCGATGGTTGCCTTCGGTAAAGCCAGCTCGGTGACACGCACCTGCCTGGGGTCGGAGCGGGGACGCCCTGGCTGAAGACCGCACTGCTCCCCGTGCTCAGAGGATTCATGCGGCACTGCATGAGTACATCTCGTGGGCTCTGTAGCTCCCCAGAAAGATCCTCAACTTGCCAATCCAACGCAATCCGAGGGCCTCCTCATGAAAAGTACTCGAACATGAAAAAGAATGTCTGAATCCTAAAACCGGTAAACGGTACACGCCTACATTTGAAGGCATGGCTAGCAGCTATAGGCGGCGGGTACGCATGCAGCGAATGATTCTGAGAGGGTATGTTTTGAACGCCGCGGGCCGATTGGACCGGTGGAGCTTTCCAGGTCACATGCATTCCAGCATGTTCTGCACGAGGGAGTGAGCCACCTGATCGGTGACAGTCAAGAATGGCGAACCAAGGATGGTGATGCTGAGCTCCCGACAAGTGGGCCTGTCCTTCCTTGGCGATACAGTCGACACCTGGGAGGGTCGTGCATGTCAAACATTTCTGTTTCCGAGCTGACGGTAAACATCGTTGATCTTAGGGCCAGGCCTTTGAGATCTCGCGGGATCGGCTCCCAACGTTTGTCCCCACAGCAACATAGAAACGAACGGAGAAAATGAAGATGTTCACAGGCCAATGGCCAGCTAGAACGCAGCCACCCGAAATGTTAGCTGACCAAGGTTTTGTTCCTGATGATCTCACGGCAAGGCTGATATAGCGTTGCAAGTCACTGGGTTGTGTCAGCTATTGCTTAATAACTGCCTCTCCACTGTCTAAGCCTGGAGCACGAGCGGGGAGCAACAGTCAACATGAAAATATGCGTGAACCGAGTGTGTGCTTTATTGAGGTGCTCCCTTCAATCACCCAAAACGCACTCCTTTTCCCAGCTCAAAGTGTGGTGATCTTGCCCCAATGCTGTCGGAAGCCGGTCCGGGGCGTAAACTCCTGCGCAGGACTAGGGATGCTCGGATCATAGACCTGCAGCTTGGTTAAGGTTTTAGGATCCAAAAGTTCGGGGTGCAGGGGTGCAGAGCTTGCAGTTAAGGGTTGGTTTGGAATTCAGGCTTCAACGTTTCAGCTCTTATGCGCTTCTTATGCTCTGCAGGTCTTTTTTGGTGATGCTTTTGGTTGCGGTGCCTCGGGGGCTCATTTACAGGGTGCCAAGACCATGCCCAAGAACAGCTCGTGTTGTTCCCGAAAAAAAACAGGGCAGGCTTTTAAACTCATGGACACCGAAACCCCAAACCCATAAATTCACCCGCGATCCTATACGAGATATCTGCCTTCACATGCGAACGTAAACCCAAAACCCTAAACCTAAACCCCAAGCCCCGAAGCAGCTCCAGTTTTTCACGACACTCCTTCGGGCGGTTCCAGGAATTGCCATGAAGCGGGTCTTCAAAAACGTGCCTTGAGTCAGCAAGCTCCATGTTGCTACAGCGGCCTTCATGACTTGAATAGGGTGTTGGAGCATTTTATACTACCGTTCTAATAAGGATACGCCAAAATGGTATTGGTTGCTGTCTACGCAATGAGAACAGGGTGTTGGAGTATGCTACCCTAGAACTAAGATAAGGATCCCGCTAGATGGTGTTGGTACTTATGTAAGCCCCGATATCTGCTGGATGACTTCGATTTTGGAAGCGGACATCTGCAGGATGTCCTAGTGGGGAAAACTCTAACTGGAGATGCTGCTCCTTCGTACCGTCGCACATGGCATCTTGAGAAAATCAAGATTGGCTCTTCGAGCAGTTTACAACAGAAAGGGACAATCCGCAAAGACATGTAGACGTCCCAATTGGCAGTGGTAAGTGCAAGCTGCACCATGAAATGGCTGAACTACCAAAATCTGTTATAGCCTCACCACCAACAAGCCCTCGGAGCAGCGAGAAGCAAAAAGGGCTGCTCGCACAGACCTGCTCTGCAACGGCTTTTGCCTGCACTCCGTTGGAAGACCCATCTCGTGGGAAGTCGGCGAGCCTTCGGGTTGCATGTCGGAATCTGTCAGCTCGGGAGAGCACTCCTTTCTGAGATGCTCATCCGCCAACGAACGCGGAGAACAATTTAAGGCTGGGCATTCACGATCTGCTTGGAGCCAAGCAGAACGAATCGGGAGATGGGGATTTGCTCTACACGCAAAACACAACGATATTCCACAAAGACCATGTGCAGAAGATCACTTCAAACAAATGGAACATGATGACAAGCAGTGCGCATGGCCAGCTTCACATGAAATCGCTGACTTGCCCCAAAGGCTGTCAAGGTGGGTTGCATGCCCGAATCTGTCAGCTGCAAGGAAGGGGATACGTCTAAGCCGCCCCGCGGCCCTCTCAGGGAAAGTGAAGGGGCGTGGAAAAAGAGCGTCGGAAAGAAGCTGTCAGCCCCTCGGCAACACATCGGGTTCAAAAACTCATGCGGAAAACTTACGGGCTGCCTTGGAGTCAGGCCACGCGGATCGGGAAATCGGGATTTGCTCTTCGAGCAAGTTTCAAAGGGACACTCCGCAAAGATATGTACTTAAAACAAATGTCCCAATTGCAAGACCATGACGGCTAGCAGTGGTAAGTGCAAGCTGCACCATGAAATTGCTGAACTACCAAAATCTCTCAAAGCCTCACCACCACCAAGCCCTCGGAGCAGCGAGAACCAAAAAGAGGTGCTCGCACAGATCTGCTCTGCAACGGCTTCTGCATGCACTCCGCTGGAAGATCCATCTCGTGGGAAGTCGGCGAGCCTTCCGAAAACAAGGGCTTCGTGTCGGAATCTGCAAGCCCCTCTGGAGAGCGCTCCCTTGTGAGATGCTCCTCGGAATCTGTCAGCCCCTCCGAAGTCGACTTCAACACTGGAGCGGAGAATAGATGCTGTGTCCGGGAATCTGCAAGCTGCCTTGGAGAGCGGCCACGCGAATTGGGAAGGTCGGGATCTGCTCTTGCCGCAAGCAAGAAGGAGACCATTGGCACATGCCCACTGAGGGCTGCGTAGCCAAGCGGGCTTGAGCTGCTATTCGCGTGAAAGACGGCCCATGGATCTGTGGAACCCAAGCAAGCCGCTGCCCGATAGACCACTTCGAAGCAACGGAAGAGACCTGTTGAACGACCCGACGCATTAACATCTGCTCTTGCGCTGACAAGCTGTGCAGCCAGAGCCACGCCGGTGTTTTGGAGATGCCGCGATTCCCAAATTAAGTTCACAAGAGCTGAATGTCCAAGACCCCCGCGGGCTTCGCTGCCATTGACATCCGCACGCAATTCCAGTAGTTTGCTGATAACTGCGGCTTGTGGAATTCTGGCCGCGCTCAGACCAATTGGGGACACCTTGCTGATTCCAGTCTGAAAGTTCACGTCGGCATGGTGCTGAACCAAGAACTCGACTGTGGCAGCATCCCGACTATTGCCCAGCAGTGGCAGGCCAATTGAATCGGTTGAGTTGGGATCTGCCCTCAACCGCAAGAGCTCTGCCATGACTGGCAGAGCACGCGAGCCCCGATGCACGGCTAGGTGCAAGGGCGTCCAAGTCAGCACATCTAAGTGCACAAGTGGTGGCGTACACCGTGTTCCTAGGCAAGCCCTTGCTTGGACAAGCCTCCGGATCATGGGAATGTCGTCCGTGAGAACTGCGCAAGCCAAAGCCCCGATCTGTTTGACTTTCAAGGCTTTTGCCAAGCTCGGGAATCCGAAATGGGACAGAAAATCCTCTTCGGATCTCTGCGTGGGGGAAAGTCTCGGACCAACCCAGTCGTGAGACCTGCATTTCAAATACCTGCAAACTCCAGGCTGAACCTCATTTGCTTCCAGGAATGCAATGCGGGCCTGCAGCGATGCCGCCAGCATCTCCCTGATGTGACTTCGATCCGCTTCCAAGGTGAAGTCTCCCTCGTGTGGTAGGGTGTAGACCCAGGTTTGAGGCATGGCAAATTCCGTGGCTAAAGGACCACGTATGACAATCATTTGCATGCTGCTTCGGCTGTTGGATAGTTGAGCACACCAGAGCTCTGCTAAGCACCAACCCCGCCGCAGCCACGATTCGTAATCACAGGCGCTGCCAGATTCGTGTCGAAGCTCAGGAACCAAAGCGACGAACATACTGCAGTGCTCCACGTAGGATGGAATAGACCGTATGGCTAGTAACTGGTTTTCGTGCTCTTCTGCGTCCTGTGGAATGCAGAACCAGTCCAACCACATGTAGCCATCACGCAATTTTGAACGCTCCTTGCTTGCTGTTGGGCGGTTCCCAATGTACATTCTTGCAACCGAGTCATCAGACTTCAGCAGCCTTCCAGAGATGCAGCCAGCTATCGCCTCTTGGAGCACTACGAGCTGTTTTCCGTCCGGGTCCGGATGATGTCTTCCCAACCACTGGTGTGAGACAAAGACTGTATACATTTTTGCCTCATGCAACACCAGCTGGCCCGACTTGAGGAGCTCTGCATGCGGCTGAGCCGGAGCTCTCATACGCAGCATGTCCGAGACGCTGACGACCCACATGGGGAACGGCCGCGCATGGTAAGAGACTTCAGACCGACTGTGGTCGGCGGCAAAGGTTGCAGCTGCCATGTCGTGGGCGTCTTCCACCCAACTAAGTTAACTCACAGATTTCTTATTGCCCAAATTCCTGCGCGTTAGATCGAATTTGCGAAAGTGTGCGATCATTGCTATGCTCTTGTATGCTATGTACGATATAACTTTATATACTATACACCGTATACTACACTACACACTGTACACTATCCACTATACTGTAGAGAAACGTAGGGTCATGTCTGTGTTGCAAGCACCAGCACAAAAGAGGATCTCCCGAGTAGCCTCTGCAAGCAACGAGCGCAGCCTCGCCCAGCGACCCAGTGCCGACCTCGTCGGGGCTTTTAGGGTTCAGGGTTTAGGGTCTAGGGTTCATAAGCTGTGGAGGCTTGAGGTTAGGGGTTTCAGGTTCAGGGGTTCACAAGCCCTATACTACCTAGGGGCTCTACAAGAGAAAGGCAGGCCAGAAGTGGGGGTTCAGGGGATTCAGGGTACTCCGTGTGCTCAGAATTCATGCTGCTACATCTCGTGGGCTCTGTAGCTCCGCAGACAGATCTTCAACTTGCCAATCCAACGCAATCCGAGGGCCTCCTCATGAAAAGTACTCGAACATGAAAAAGAATGTCTGAATCCTAAAACCGGTAAACGTTACGCGCCTACATTTGAAGGCATGGCCAGCAGCTAGGCGGCGGGTACGCATGCAGCGAATGATTCTGAGAGGGTATGTTTTGAACGCCGCGGGCCGATTGGACCGGTGGAGCTTTCCATGCATTCCAACATATTCTGCACGAGGGAGTGAGCCACCTGACCGGCGACAATCCAGAATGACGAACCAAGGATGGTGATGCTGAGCCCCCGACAAGTGGGCCTGTCCTTCCTTGGCGATACAGTCGCCACCTGGGAGGGTCGTGCATGTCAAATATTTCTGTTTCCGAGCTGACGGTAAGCATTGTTGATCTTAGGGCCAGGCCTTTGAGATCTCGCGGGATCGGCCCCCAACGTTTGTCCACAGCAACATAGCAACGAACAGAGAAAATGAAGCTGTTCACAGGCCAATCGCCAGCTAAACGCAGCCACCCGAAACGTTAGCTGACCAAGGGTTTTGTTCCTGATGATCTCACGGCAAGGCTGATATTATAGCGTTGCAAGTCACTGAGTTGTGTCAGCTATTGCTTATGAACTGCCTCTCCACTGTCTAAGCCAGGAGCTCGAGCGGGAGCAACAGTCAACAGGAAAATGTGCGTGAACCGAGTGTGTGCTTTATTGAGGTGCTCCCTTCAATCACCCAAAACGCACTCCTTTTCCCAGCTCAAAGTGTGGTGATCTTGCCCCAATGCTGTCGGAAGCCGGTCCGGGGCGTAAGCTCCTGCACAGGACTAGGGTTGACTTGTGGAATATTATGGTGCGACATTGAGGATGTGAATCACTGTTTTTGGCACTTGCTGCGTGAACTGCATGCAACATCACCATGAATTCGACTCCCCTTCCTCCCTCCCCTCCCTCCTCTCCCTTCGCCGCCCGTTTCATCCGTCCTACCTCTCCACTCCCTCTCCTTCCCTCTTCTGGAACTCCCCCCCAATCCCAACCCCACAGCTTGCGGATGGCAATTCCTCCCGTCAAAGGTTCTGTTCTTCTCACATGCTGGAAAATCGCAAAAGACACAGCATAGCTGTTGCGACGTACGCCCCCTCCCTCCCTCCCTCCGCAACCTAACCCAACCTAACTCAAGCCAACCCGACCCTATCGTACCTTGCCTCTTCCCCTACCTATCTACGTATCTACCTACCTACCTACCTGCCTCCTGATCTCTGATCTCCCTACCACAACCACCACAATAACAACCTCAACCACCACAACCACAACAACCAAGCAGTCACTGACCACCTACCAACAGCCAAAACCCAACGACCAACAACCAGCAATCAGCCACAAGCAACTAACAACCAACAAACGACACCCAACAACCAACTACGAACCACCAACCAACAACCTTCAACCAGCAATCAGCCACAAGCAACTAACAACCAACAAACGACAGCCAACAACCAACTACGAACCACCAGCCAACAAGCGGCACCCAGCAATTAGCCACCAGCAACTAACAACCGTAACTAGCGACAACCTGCCAACCACCACCACCAACAACAACCATCACAACTACCACCACAACCACAACCACCACAGTGGGTTTAATCTGCTTGTGCTTTAGGGCTCTGGGGAATGTAGCTTGGATGAGGCGAGTACATGTCGCTGATACATGATACTGTGATATAACCCAGACCCTAGCTTGCATCAGAGAGAGAGAGAGAGAGAGAGAGAGAGAGAGAGAGAGAGAGAGAGAGAGAGAGAGAGAGAGAGAGAGAGAGAAAGAGAGAGGCGGAGAGACAGGGAGACAGACAGAGAGACAGACAGACAGACAGACAGACAGAGAGACAGAGAGACAGAGAGACAGAGCGAGAGCGAGAGAGAGAGAGAGAGAGGGAGAGTAGGAGAGAGAGAGAGAGATTGAGAGCGCGCAAGGGTGGGTGTGTGTGTGTGTGTGTCCTGCTTGATGTTGGTAGGCATCGGCGAGAACTGACTGATCTGCATCGAATTCTTCGGCCTGGCATGGCATTTCTTCACGGGTTCCATTCTTAGCGGGCTTTGATTGAACCAGGCCTGCTCCGGATTGCATTAGGAGTTTCGTGGATTGCTTAACTTATTTTGGGGTGCGCCGCCTGCTTGGGCGCATTAACGAGGCACCTACTATTTCAGGTTTATACACGGCTCCCTCATGAGTTTCTGAACCTCTCACATATGTCAAAGGACTGCATGTCTGTATACAAAGTGTTGCACGTATGCAATAATTACATACATACTTCCTTACTTAAAAATCTTCCAGAAAGTGAGACAAACTAGGGAAGACGGACAGCTGCATAGAGCCCAGAGGCTACAACGCCTGTGGAAGTAGCACAAACACAGAACTAACTGCGCTACAACGCATGTGGAAGTAGCAGAAACAAAGATATAGCAGTGTGCTCGGGTGGCATACTAGTCACATGCCGGTTCCACACCTGCCCTGAACCTTAAACCCTAAGCCTTAAACCCCAAACCCTACATCATCAAAAAGCTGTAGAAGCCACAAGGCTCAAAGATCTGCATACATCTTGCAAGCAGCTAAACTTGAGTGAAACAGATCTATGCAACAACTCTTATACTTAACTGTATGTTGCTGCCTGTACTTGTACAACGACACCAATAAGTGTGCACTTAATCCACCCCTGAACCCTAAACGCGTAAACCCACCTAAACCCTAAACCCTAGACCACAAACTTCCCCGCTTTGGAGGCTCAGGCTCATGGCCTCGACGTAGGCATGGGCTGGTGGACGCCGACGCGTACACAAAGATCGCCAATGACCTTGCAGGTCTATAGGGTTTACCTTAACCCCAAATAACCTACCTTTTTAGGGACTTATATAAAGAAATCACATCGGGAAGCCCTGAAAAGGTAGGTTCCTTCGGGTCCAGGTAGGGTTTAGAGCTTAGTGTCCAGCCAAGAACCTGAATCCTCCAAACCTCAACCCGCACCAACCCATCAGACTCATGTGGGTAGTTGTCAAAATTAGGGTCCCTAATTGGGTACCCTAAATAATAGGTGCCGTACTATTATGGGGACCCAAAAAGGGACCCTTATTTTGACAACCACCCATGTGATCCCATCTCTTGATCCTGGGCTGACTACTTAATTTTCGTTTAAAGCATGAATGCTACCAGCCGCCACGCTCCCTAAACGCTCCGTGAGACAGGAAGGACAACGGAGCCATGAAACTCTTGCAATTCCTTCACTTCTGGCTTGGGCTTTGTGTTGGTTTTGGGTCAAGTGGGTAGTTGTCAAAATTGCGGCACCTTTTTGGGTACCCTACATAATAGGTGCCGTATTAAAATAAGGATTCAAAGCGGGACCATAATTTTGACAACCACCCAAGTATCGGGATAACTTCGGCCGTCCCGCTCCAGCGGTCTGCAAGGAAGCATTAGGCGGAAAGGCAAGATGGAACGTTCCAAATCCGGAAACCCTGTGCCAGCCTTCAACCCTAAACCCTCAAAGTCCTGAAGACCCTAAAACCCAAACCGAAAACGCCACACAAAACCGGAACCTCAACCCAACCATGCAAACCCCAAACCCTAAACCTTCTTTGCAATCTTGTGGATCTCAGGGCAGGACGTCCTGGTATTGCTTTCCGATGCCCGTTGTGCTCCAGCCACCGCCGAGCAGCCGGTCCTGAACGCATCAGAGGAAGCAGAAGAAAAATAGGTTTAGGGTTGTTTTAGGTTTAGGGTTTAGGGTTTAGGGTCGGAGGGCAACTACGCAAGTAGTAGGTGTACTGCATAGTAATGGAGAGTATAGGAAATATTTGAAATAGGCAGAGCATCATGCTCCGTGCAGGTGCCTCATGTACCTTCGCCTTCGCCATGTACCGTCCCTAACCATTAGGGTTTAGAGTTTAGGGTTTAGGGACCATTGAACCATCATCCCGTTGTTCTCCCCCTGATGATAGAACCTATCCATTTGTTCTACCCGTTCTGCTAAGGTTCGTGTCTCAAATGCTTTAGTCATTCATCGGCAATTAATCGCTCCCCTCTGCTCTTGACCCCCGTACCATTGAGCCGGTGTGGCCCCAAACCTTGAAGCAATGTCTGCATGTACTGCCTCTCATGACTGCTAAGGGTCCCAAACCTTAAATCCTATCGCTTCCAGCTATGATTGGGATTACGGAACTGCTAAACCATTCATCCACTCGCTTTGCCCCACGGTCACTTAAAGACCCATTGAACCATTGCTTCAGAGCAAAACCAAGAAAACCCTAAACCCTAAACGCTAAGCCCAAAACCTAAGCCCCATGCCCCAAACCCCAAACCGTAAGCACTAAACCCCATGCCCTAAACCCTAAGCCCTAAACACCTCAACCCAAGAGCTGAGGGTCCCGAAACTTTGTCAGAGCATGCAGGCGAGCCATTTCCACCTTGCCACCAAAGGGTCCGCAGATTTGGAGTCTATTTAAAGGGAACTCCAGAAAGTTGGACTATGGTTTCAGGGTAGGATACCCTATAACTTACCACAAAGGGTTTAGGATAATCATACTCCAACTTTCTGGCTTTTACTGTAAGGGGGTAGTAGGCCCAGGGTTTCTTAATCAGGTTCCTACATTAGGAAGGTCTGCGCGCGGGCGCGTGACTACAGGGTCCATGAGGCCGCAGAGCCCCGACTCTGAAACCCACACTCTATATGGGAGTATCCCGAAAATTAGGGGTACCTTATTGGGATCCTTATAATAAGGATCCTACTATTTAGGGTACTATTTTAGGGTCCCCTATTTTCGGAAATTCGCATATGGTTTAGGGTTTAGGGTTCAGGGTTTAGGGCTCAGGGTTTAATATAAACCCTGAACCCCAAACTCTAAACCCTAAACTCTAAACCTCAAACCTCAAGCTTCGCGTTGAAGATTTCGGGTGCCCCTGCCGTTCCAATACCGAACCTCCAACACTGCCTGGCTGTGAAGATGATGTCTCAACCGCACTCTACATCCGGAGCCCTCCTCCAGAAGCCTAATACAGAGGCTTTAACACTTGGAGTAGGCTTTTGGGGCATATTTACACCATAATTACATAATTAAGATAAGGAGCCCCTCAGAATAGTATAGGTACTTCTGTAGGCCCCTAAAGTCAACCCTCAAGCCTAAGCCCCAGGAGAGATCTGAGGCCCCGAAACCCTACATGCTCAGCCATCATATGGGGGCCTAAACACTTACCTATACAATTTTGGTGGGTTCCTTTCTAAAAGTCTAGAAAGCTGATTTTGGGTCCCCTATATTATTAAACCTGAAGCCCAAAGGCCCCGCTTGAGCGCCCTGCTGCCGTGTCGATCTCGTCAAAGCCCTTCGAGTTCTCGATTTGTCGGCGCAAGGCCTGGTAGGAGTTGATGGTCGAGGCTGCAAAGCTTAACTAAAGGCCTCTATGAGGGATCCAGAGCGTACGCCGGGTAACCCCTATCTCCCTGGGTGGGGTTGCTGACGGGCGGAGGGCCGGACCTGACCAGAGGGGGGGGGTAGTTAGATAGATAGTTAGTATCTGACCCGCCGGCGGAAACCTCTAACCTCTAACCCGTGCGTACCTGGGCGGGTTGCTGACGGCGGAGGTTGCTGACGCGCGGAGGGTGGGTAGTGGAGGTTGCTGACGGACGGAGGTTGTTGACGGGCGCAGCTGCTGATGCGTGCGGGTAGCTGACGGGCAGAGGTGCGGAGGGTGGGTAGCATGACGGGCGGAGGTTGCTGACGGGTGGAGGGTGGACGGAGGGTGGGTAGCTGACGGGCGGAGGTTGCTGACGCGCGGAGGGTGCTGACGGGCAGAGTGGGTAGCTGACGGGCTGATGGGCGGAGATTGCTGACGCGTGGAGGGTGGGTAGCTGACGGGTGGAGGTTGCTGACGGGCGGAGGGTGAGGTTGGACGGAAACCTCTAACCTTTAACCCGTGGGTACCTGACGGAGATAGATAGTATCTGACGGGCGGAAACCTCTAACCTCTAACTCATGGGTATCTGACGGAGATAGACAGTATCTGACGGGCGGAAACCTCTAACCTCTAACTCATGGGTATCTGACGGAGATAGACAGTATCTGACGGGCGGAAACCTCTAACCTCTAACTCATGGGTATCTGACGGAGATAGACAGTATCTGACGGGCGGAAACCTCTAACCTCTAACTCATGGGTATCTGACGGAGATAGACAGTATCTGACGGGCGGAAACCTCTAACCTCTAACTCATGGGTATCTGACGGAGATAGACAGTATCTGACGGGCGGAAACCTCTAACCTCTAACTCATGGGTATCTGACGGAGATAGACAGTATCTGACGGGCGGAAACCTCTAACCTCTAACTCATGGGTATCTGACGGAGATAGACAGTATCTGACGGGCGGAAACCTCTAACCTCTAACTCATGGGTATCTGACGGAGATAGACAGTATCTGACGGGCGGAAACCTCTAACCTCTAACTCATGGGTATCTGACGGAGATAGACAGTATCTGACGGGCGGAAACCTCTAACCTCTAACTCATGGGTATCTGACGGAGATAGACAGTATCTGACGGGCGGAAACCTCTAACCTCTAACTCATGGGTATCTGACGGAGATAGACAGTATCTGACGGGCGGAAACCTCTAACCTCTAACTCATGGGTATCTGACGGAGATAGACAGTATCTGACGGGCGGAAACCTCTAACCTCTAACTCATGGGTATCTGACGGAGATAGACAGTATCTGACGGGCGGAAACCTCTAACCTCTAACTCATGGGTATCTGACGGAGATAGACAGTATCTGACGGGCGGAAACCTCTAACCTCTAACTCATGGGTATCTGACGGAGATAGACAGTATCTGACGGGCGGAAACCTCTAACCTCTAACTCATGGGTATCTGACGGAGATAGACAGTATCTGACGGGCGGAAACCTCTAACCTCTAACTCATGGGTATCTGACGGAGATAGACAGTATCTGACGGGCGGAAACCTCTAACCTCTAACTCATGGGTATCTGACGGAGATAGACAGTATCTGACGGGCGGAAACCTCTAACCTCTAACTCATGGGTATCTGACGGAGATAGACAGTATCTGACGGGCGGAAACCTCTAACCTCTAACTCATGGGTATCTGACGGAGATAGACAGTATCTGACGGGCGGAAACCTCTAACCAGCAGGTAACCGACGGGGGTTAGAGTAAGAGGTTAGGTGAGGTACATGATGCAGAGGGATCTATAGGGTTTTCGGGAGGTGGAGTTCAGGCTTCACGGTTCAGGGATGGGTTTAGGATGGCTTTTGGTTCGGGGCTGCTAGAATCCTAACAGGTACGAAACAGAGGAAAAGTAGTCATCAACTTGGGGTGGAGGGTTTAAGGTTTAGGGGTTTAGAGTTTAGGGGTTCAGGGTTTAGGGGAAACATAGGAACAGTAATCATCAAAACCTCAAAACAACCCAGTGCCAACGAGGTAGAAGACAGACCCAACATGACCCAGACTGGCAGTCGAGGGGGGTCAGGGCTTTAGTCCTTCCCCGTCACTGCTCCAAATTCGCCGAGATGAAACCCGGTCTGAAAACAAGCAACCGTCTTCAGCCGGCAAGGTGAAAAGGTCTGTTGCCCGGCATCGCATGAAGCCGAAGCCGATGTTCTGACGACGTGGGTAAACGACCAAAGTCACACAAACGCTAAATCTGGCACTGCTGTCACAATCTGCCTACGACGCATGTGTAATGCTCCAGCTCCGCTGTATTGGTCACCCCCTGCAAGCATGCACTCGCAAAGAACCCGAATTCGACTAGTAACAGCTCCACACCCCGATCCCAGCAAGAATACCGAGACCTGCTCGTCCCGCGAGAACGATGCCGAAGCGGGACCGCAGCGTGCAGAGCGGGAGTCCTCCGCTTCGGCAGCAGAAACGGCCTTATGGGGTGCTACAATTCAGGGGTCGGGCTTCGACACCCTCCGATTAGTTAAGGGATCCATGGGATCCCATACAAAACGGCCAACTCTCCTGCCGTCCATGAAGGTTGTCGTTTGGGGATGCATGCCGTGTTCCCAACAGGCATCGATCGTCCACAGTACCATGATATCTGCGACGGTTCGCACATCACATACGTCATGATGCGGACATATGGCGGCCTGAATCATCAGACGAGGCTTTTATCAGACGGGCCTTTAGGACATACTCATGTATGCCGGGTCTTCAGATCGCCAACTTCTGGTCGTCGTGTCGCTTCCATATGAAGGTTCCAGAGCTTCAAAGGTTTGCCAGGTTTAGGGTCTAGGCTTTAGGGTTCAGGGTTCAAAAGCGAAAAACAAAGCCCCTGCACCTGAAGCCGCCCACAAAGCGAAAACCCCACCGGTGGCTTGTTCTTAACTATGCTGCTGCTTGTGGGGGTCCTTGTCTGAAGTACATGAGTTCGGGCATATTCAGGGAACCCTGGTCCAGACCCCCACTTGACGGTCCACCGGCTTTGCGCAAGCGGTGAGGAATGCTTCGTCCAGGCACCACGCACTGCGCCCCTGGCACGGCGGCCGAATCAGCAACTAGCGAAAGGACAACGGCTCCACACGGTTCTGAAGTGGCTTAAAGCCTATAGCCATAGGATGTTGCTACCGGAAACGCATCAACAGCTGCAAACAGACCTCACGAAACCCCGAGGCCTTGAAGCCTCAAATGCTTGAAGAGCTGGCCGACCCCTGCTAGGATGTAGCAATACAAGTACCCACATACCAACACCCTCGTTCCCTACATCAAATACTCACCCCTGAACCCTAAACACCTAATTAAACCCGAATCCCTGATCAACACTGCGCGTGCCAGGCAATCAAGCCTCGGATACTTCGAACCTACGTTGTAGGATCGCTGGCTTTCAAGAACCCCAACTCGCAAAACGTTGCATATGATTGTCCCCTGTTAAAGTCCCTATTAAAGCCCTTGTAAGCCAGCTTACAAAGCTTCGGGCTTAGGGCTAACACGCAAGATGCATGAACATATACATAAATATGTGCACACATACTTGAGACAGCAGCCTAAACCCTAAACCCCTAAACATCCCTAAACCCTAGACCCCTAAACCCCTAACCCTAAACCCTAAGCCCCTAAACCCTACCCAAAGCCGCCTTGGGCTTCTGGGTGGTGTTCACCTCCGGACTGAAACGTGAGGGCGGCTTTGCTTTGGGGTGTGGGCCTTGGGGTTTAGGGGTTACCTCAACCTACCACAACCAAAACCTACTTTTTTGTAGGGTCCCTATAAATTCCATATTAGGGTTTATACTAAGAACCTACAAAACAGTAGGGTTTGGTAGGTTCAGGTAAGGCTCAGGCAAAAGGGGCTTGGGCTTTGGGGCTTGGGGGTGTTACGAAAGATATATATGTGCATATGTAGCCGAAGACTCTTGCCAATATTACAAAGCATGACAGACTACGACGCATAAAACGTTCATGTTGGCATGATGTGCAACTTGCATCACATACATACATACATACATACATACAGACATACATACGTAAATAATATGTCTTGTAACAATCATAGACTACATAGTGTGTATTAAGCTATACATACAGTGCTATATATGTACACATAATGTAACACAACGTATAATCGAGCTTGTGATCTAGAGCCCTAAACCCGTCTCCCACTGATACCCTCCCGGCCTCCAGCCCCAAGTCGACTGCCGCGGACCTCCAAGCAGCTAGTGTAGGGGCCTAATAATTAGAATAGGCTTCTTGGCTCCTGTGTAGTATAGTTATAATAGGGAACCCCGGGTGGTCATTATTTAGGCTTCTGCAGTGCAAGTATCTTGAGCTTAGGGTTCAGGGTTTGTAAGGCTTATGGGGGTTTATAGGGTTTAGGGCTTAGGGCTTCTGGGGTTTACAGGGTTTAGGGCTTGAAGGCTTATAGGCTTTATAGGGCTTAGGGCTTGGGGCTTATAGGGTTTGAACAGGGTTTATAGGGGTTTAGGGCTTGAAGGCTTATAGGGTTAATAGGGCTTTGGGTTTAAGGCTTCATAGGGTTTATGGGGTTTAGGGTTCAGGGTCAGGATCTTGAGCTTCAACTTTAGATGTGAGTAAAGGTTGTATTTCAACTCTATATGTTATTGGGTATAGGGTTTAGGGTTTAGGGTTTAGGGTTTCATGTAAAGGAGGTTCAACTTTAGATGTTAATGTAGTTTGTATGTTGTATCCATATCATAGGCTAGATACTTGGCCTTAGATGTTAATGCGGGTTGCATGTTGTACATGACACACTATATATCTTCTCCAGTTGAACAACTGATCTATGTGCAACTTGCACCGAGGGTTTGCGGTCTGCATGCTGCGAGCTGCGAGTGAACCCATCATATTATACTATAGTATACGATATTGTGTCATATTGGCTTACATTGTATCATAGTATATACTGTATTCTGTTCTTTCTATGAATATATAAGCTCCTGCCGACCTGCCTGGGACACAGAACCATGCCACATATCGCTGGATGGGTTGCGCGGGCTCCGAAACAGGCCTATGTTCGCTTGTGAACATCCTGCTTCGGTGTCAGCTGAGCTCTTGGCATTTCGAACAAGCACCACAATCGCCTCGGACAGTGTCGAGCTTTACCGCTCTCTAGCACCCAAGACCCAGAAACCTCAATTCAAGTCTACGCCCTGGTCTGAGAGGAAAGCTCGTAGACATCGATGTTTGTGGACAGAACGCACCTCAGTCACCAAACAGTGCACAGCCCTGATTCAGCGACATGTCAAAGGTTTGGGAGTTTAGAAGTTTGGGGTGGTGGTTTGGGGATTTCGGTTTTCGAGCCTAAGGCTTAGCTTGTTAGGTTTTCGGGTTGGGGATTGAGGATCAAGGGCCCTACACAGCAGGATTCCTGTGATACAAAGCCGAATCAGCAGTCCCAACCGTGCTGAACTGCATATACTTGTGGATCATGCACGACACCTTGCATGTCGATCTTCCGGCTCCCATATAACTTTACTTCTTTGACATGGGATGCACTGTTTAGGGTTTAGGGTTGCTAGGCTTGCTGGCCCACCGCGGAGAATCAGTGCTGCTAGGTCACAGCATGCAGTCGGCACTTCGAAGAACCTGCGTTGCTTTCCGTCATTGTTAGGCGGCTTCCGGGAATCGGGTGTGCAGAGGGTGTTTCAACCTTGGTTCTGCAAAAGGTCTGCCCAATAACGCAACGAAAGGGGACTGGAGACCCTGAACCCTAAATTAGAATGCTAAACCCTAAACCCCTAAACCATGAAACAAAAGCCGCGATCGCCCTTCACAACGAGGGAAAAGATTCTCGGACTCTTTTGAGTAGACGACAGAAAACTGAGACAGCATCAAGCACCGTGTGGCCTTAGGTATACGTCCATAAACCCGTATGTATTGTTTTATCTATCAAAGAAAAGATTGGCAGAACCCACAGGAACCCAGAAACAGGAACCCAGAACCTCTGCAGAACCCGTCTCGCGCATTCTCATACCCATAGAACCCGTATAAGACGCGTTTTAGGATGTTTTAGGGACTCTTCGATTACCTTTAAGGGAACCCTTTACAGGAACCCTTAAAGGATCCCTTTAAGGGATCCCTTTAAAGGGTCCCTTTAAAGCCCTTTAAAAGGGTCCACCTTATAGGAAACCTTGCAACACCAAGGCGCCGGATTCAGCAGCACCGAGGGCTCACACAAGATCTGGGAGATGGCCTCCTGTGGGGATGTTAGGAGTCTTGAGGGTTTTTAGGGGTTAGGTGGGAGATGGCTTCCTGTAGGGATTCTAGGGTTTGGGGGTTTTAGGGTTTAGGGCTGCGGGTTTTAGGGATTTTAGAGTTTGCTTGTTTTGTTGAACCCTCTTTTCTTTTGGCAGTTAGCATCTGGTTAGGCTTTGGGGCTGTTAGAGCCTGGGGTTGAGGTTTGAGATGGCATCTGGTTAGGATTTGGGGCTTTTCGGGTCTGGGGTTGAGGGTTGAGATGGGTTGAGGTATCGTGTCAGGCATTGTCAGTGGGAGGGGAATACTCAAAACAGGGCCTGGGGGCACATTAACAAAACATGAAGACTGCTGATGGGATACGAATATGGGGGCCTGAGCACTTGGAATAGGATTTTGGGTAATCAATACCTGTTGAATTGGGGGGTGCATTCTAGTTTAGTTATGTGAGGGACTATAATTAAGGGGGTACTGCTACCAGTCAGTCCGAACCACAACACTAAGCTAGACTTTGAACCCAAAAACCTGCCCAAAACCTTCCGAAACCGCTCAAAAGCCCAGGACCTGAACCCTACACACCCTCTGCTATACTCTGTTGGGTTCCTAGGGCATGAAGCCCCAGGCTTTACTTTCCCGCTCGGTCCTCTGACTGGTACAAGGCTGTCGACGCGACCTGCAGTGGCAAGAAAAGACCACCGAATATGGGACCCTCGATTTTCGGGTTCAGGGTTTAAGGCCTCTTTAAAGGGCTCTTCGAAGGGGCACATAGGGGTTTGCATAATCAGGGTTGTTGGAGGGTTTTCTGAACAGTTGGAAAAGGGTTTTGGGCAGATATCATACTGTAGTGATATTCATGACCGCATGGGAATATTCGCACTGATTGTGTCGACTACTGATGATGACACCCTATAGTTCCTTCGAACTCTTGCATGACCTTAAGTCTCTCACAGCCCCATGCACGCAGGACATGACGCCTTGCGCCGGGCTTCATGCACAAGACTTGCGGCTGCTGATGCTCTTGCGTCGAAATTTCTTGCCATATGTGTATATGTAACAAAAATGTATACATATATATATATATATATGCTCACCCCCCCCGTTGACAGACCATGCCCTTGTGATAGTGTACTCTCGTTCGGTGACTAGGCTGAGATATTGTATCTAAACACACCACACATGACGACAATCTGTAAAGCAAATCCTTTACAGTACATATACGAAATATACTTTTAACATGCCATGTACTGAGGACGCATGGACCAGACGCGCGACACGTGAGTTATGAGTTTTGTGGTAGCATTGATATAGGATGAGTATGAGTATTAATATTGGTATTAGTACTAGTATCAGCAATAGTATTAGTGTTTACTGTAAGTATATGTATATATATATATATATATATGTATATACGACAGTAGTAAGTATACATTAATGTTAGTGCTCATCTTCGTTTTAATCTTAGTGTTAGTGCCAGTGTCAATGTCAGTAATAGTACCACTGCTAGTATTAGTATCAGTCTTCATGCTGGGTTTAATATCAGTTAATAATGGCAGAGGTGCTAGTATTGGTTTCAAAATTAGAGTTAGTTTCGATATGTTACTATTCTGATAGTTTCATATATCAGCAGGTTAGTATATCAATACATGTGTTCGAGAGGCAACATATTTGTATACTTGCATATTCGTAGATTTAATACTTTAGTACAACTGATGCATGAGTAAACTAGTATATTGCTGTACTAATAATTTGGTATATTAACATACCAGTATATTCGTACATTAGTGTATTAGTATACCATTATATGCAATATACGTGTATTGTCTAAAGATTTATAAGTATATCAGTATGTTGTCATATTCGTACACTAACCGGCCATGTCGGTATACTTGCATATTACAGTAGTCGTATACTAGTAGCATACTAGTATAATAGCATACTAGTATAGTATATTCACATATTAACAAGTAGTGTATTGTTCCTTTGGTATATGGGTATATGCTTGTCCTACAACATCAGTACATGAATGCATTGATACATATCGGCATTTCAAGATAATGGTATGTGTTCTGGTGTGCATTAGCATATGCACGTGTCTTTTGTAATGGTATTAGCCTTCACATCAATATGAATATGACTATTGGTATTCGTAGGAGTATTAATGTTAATATTCGTATTAGGATTATCCATAATCGCATTAGCCTTAGTTATTTTATCTGTTAATTTTGGCATTAATACTGGCATTATCTTGAATATTCAACAAGTTATCAATGTCAGTATTAGTATTGGTGACAGCATTACTGTTAACAGCATAAGAGTATACGAAGTAGTCTCCGTAGGAGTATCAATACTTATGTAAATCTTGGTGTTGGTATAAACAGTGTGATTGGTATTAGTAATAGTGCTAGTGCTAGTGCTAATAATAAAATGACGTTACAGTAGGTATTCGCATGAACGTTTGTCTTATGTTAGTATTACTCCTGATTACATGAAAATACTAACAGATAAATACATGCATGAGCTAATGTATTTGTACTGTAATATAGTGGTATGTATATTTATGTACATTGGTATATGCAGGTGTGTATTAGTATTGGTATTAAAATACACTACTACCAATATGGGCATAATTATGGATATGCGTAGGAGTATGAACGTCAGTATTAATCATTATTAGTATTTGTATGGTGCCTATTCGTATTTGCTTAAAAAAGTGTAAATATTAGTGTTAATGCTGGTATTAGCTTGGGCAGTCAGCAAATGATCAATGTCAGTATTAGTATTGGTAATAGTATTCGTAGGAGTACCAATTTAAACGAAAAAAAAATATATATATATATATAGATATATAAACACTGACAATCGTCTAATCAGACCTTGCCTTTGCAAGTGAGTCGTAGTGCATGGTCTGTCATCCGATGGGTCACAATCAGCACATTGAAAATCAATTCCAGAAGTTCCAACATTTCCAAAATTTCCAAAACGGCCCGACCTAGTCGACAGGATTTTTCCAAAACATAAGGGCGGACTTTTTGGAAATTTTGGACATTTTTGAAATTTCGGAAATTCTTGGAAATTTTGGAAATCCGGAAAGTTAGGGGAGAGAATTTTGGAAATTTTGGAATTGAGTTTTTGAAAGCTGAGTGCCCCCTCCCCCCGATCACAGACCATGCCCTTGTGATAGTGTACTCTCGTTCGGTGACTAGGCTGAGATATTGTATCTAAACACACCGCACATGACGACAATCTGTAAAGCAAATCCTTTACAGCACATATACGAAATATACTTTTAACATGCCATGTACTGAGGACGCATGGACCAGACGCGCGACACGTGAGTTATGAGTTTTGTGGTAGCATTGATATAGGATGAGTATGAGTATTAATATTGGTATTAGTACTAGTATCAGCAATAGTATTAGTGTTTACTGTAAGTATATGTATATATATACATATATGTATATGTCGACAGTAGTAAGTATACATTAATGTTAGTGCTCATCTTCGTTTTAGTCTTATTGTTAGTGCCGGTGACCATATATATATATATAGATAGATAGATAGATAGATATAGCTGGCAGGTTCCTCGACTCCGCGTCGCCGAAGCGAGGCCGTTGAACAGCCAAGGTCTACGGGAGGAAAAATCCTAAACAAACCTCTACCTGGACGCTAAAGAATTACTGCTGTTAAGGGCTCCTTCTGATTACCTGGACCCAAAAGAGTTGCTTTTTGTTCAGGGTTCCTTCTGATTTCCGTCTATAATTCCTTACAGTGGTAGGATATTCAGGGGTCCAGGTACAGTTACAGTTTGCGAAACTCCTCCCTCCCCCCCCGTCCCGTCCGCCTTACCTTTGGTTAGTAGGGAATGGAAGAATGGTAGTAATAGTAATTATATGGTAGTAATATGATAGTAATATGGAAGTAATTCGGTAGTAATATGGTAGTAATTGTAGTTATAATTGTACCCCATTCCTCCAGTCCCTACTAACCAAAGGTAAGCCGCTGCAGGGCCCGCACCCACATGACGCCCTGGTGCTCTGCGACCGACCTTGGCAGCTTCTCGCCTTCTCACCGAGTCCCACACCCAACAACAATGCCTACCTTAACCCCAAGTAACCTACCTTTTTAAGGACTTATGTAAAGAAATCATAGCAGGGAACCCTAAAAAGGTAGGTTCCGTAGGGTCAAGCTAAACCTTCAAAGCCGGATTCAAAGCCTAGGACCTGTAGATGCTGAAACAGTAAAACCCCAAACCCACCGAGATCCGCACAGCGCCGACAGCAGATCCGTGAAAGCATCGTCCCAGGCGTGCGAAACCAGGATGGCCTCGGCCAGGAATTGGAACAGTTTGCCACAGGGGCCTAAAGACTTACCTATACTATTTTGGAGGTTCCTTAGTATAACTATATTATGATTGACCCCAAACCCTAAGAACTACCTATACTATTTTGGAGGTTCCTTAGTATAACTATAGTATGATTGGCCCCAAAACCCTATTCCAGTTTTAAGGCCTCTATAGTAGGGTTTATAGGGTTTAGGCCGAGGCAAAGTCGGGAGGGGAGAGGGGATCGTCACAGCTCTACGAGTGCCCGTCGTCGTCATTGCCAGAGTCACTGTTCGGCGAACCCACATAGACTGCAACACGCCTTGCATGCAGGAAATGGTACTATGACTAGCGTTGTTAATTAAGTTGTTACTGCTATTATTCGGATGATAACTCTTGATCCGTGAAGAGGGTTGTTACACGTGTTTCTTATGGTGCGGCTATTCCTAAAACTATGATTTGGGCATCTTGGCAGGGCCCCAAACCCTAAAACCGTGAAGCTCTACGCAAGAAAAAACGAAATTCCGAAAGGCCCTAAGCCCCAAATCCTCAAACCCCGTACCCCAAACCTAACCCTACATCCAAAAAGGCCTAAACTTTCATGCCAAGTAGGCTCCATATCTCGCAAGGCGACTGCAACTTGCAGGCCTAAACCCTGAACTTTCCCTACACCCTAAACTTTCCCTCGGAATAACCTACTCTTTTGAGGTTCCTTATTATGATTTCCTTATATAAGTCCTTAAAAAGGTAGGTTCTTCCGGCTTAAGGTAAGCCCTAAGCCCAATGGCTCCAAAGTAGAACTGAGCTCGCCGCTGCCTGAAGCGGGCTCGCAGAGTTCCGGAGGAGGGCGTAGCCTGGCTTTCTTTCTCTCTGAGGGTGCCGAGTTTAAGCTTCGGGGCTTAGGGTTCAGGATTCAAGAGTTTTTTTGTTTTTAAGGGCCCCTTTTCGAACTGCAGAGTGCTCTTCGAAAGCCCGGATTCAGGGCTTAGGGTTGAGGTGTAGAGTTTAGGTTTCGGGGTTTAGGGGTTCAGGGTGTAGGGTTGAGGATATGGGTTTGGGAATTCGGGAGGGCTGAGGGTGTAGGGGTGCTACGAACTTGACGATCTGAACAAATATAGGGCCTCCATAGTTAGAATGGGAAGTGGTCTTACTGCGCGTAGAGCTGAGTAAATAATCTATCCATGAAGTCCACTGTAGGGCTCTAGCGTTTGGCAGGGTTGGAGGTTTTGGGCCTATCATGAAGGGACGTGTCAGGGTCAGGGTTGAGAGGGCTTGAGGGATCTGTGGCTTTCGGGTTCGGGCTTGAGGAGTTTCGGGCTCCTTGCGGGTCGCTAAAAGTATAATGATACAATACTATAATTAATAATCATGCACTGATAAACTACTAAAATCATACACCAACATCATAATATACAAGCATAACAATGGCGTTGTGTTCTGCATCGTGGCGGCCTTTTTTCTCGCATCACAGACGTCTCTTCTTGAACTTGAACAGCGAACCATCTAAACCAGCACCTTGGAATCGGCAAAGACACCTCTCAAATCGATTGCCAACATGGACGCAACAGTGGGGCACGAAGCAGCTGCATCAAGGGAGACTCCTTCTCTTGGGAAACATCCCTCACCCGAACATTCAGTCAAAGTCTAGTCAGTCTGGGACGGCCGGGACGAAGGGCAACATTGGTGAACTCCCTTGTACGGCTGGTCGTGAGCCCCAAACAGTTCGGCAAGGCCCCGCGGAAAGAATTAACGGACAGCTTGCAAGCCGCCTTCGTATTAGCGAGCATTGCGAAGTGCCTTCGTCTCCTAAGCGAATCCTGGCACTACAGTGACTACAGGGCGCGAACGTGCTGGTCCTTGCCTCGGGTTGGCGGAATGTTGGCGCAAGGGACATCAGTTCACTCAGAGTGGGGTGGCGCGCCTCGGGTTTGAAACCTTTGCATCACTGCTTACTGTAGTTTGGGTTTTGAAGTATAGTTTGCCATAATTATCAAACTGAATAGTTTGGCCTGTGGCCTATCCTCAGGCCTCTCCCGAGATCGAGGAATTCCCACTCCGTGTGGGCATCTGGGTACAACTCAAGTGCCGCACAAAGCGCTGGATCGGCTGACAAGGACGCGCCAAAGGGCATTCGCGACCTTGTGTCTCAGACTCTCGAATTTCAATTTCCTCAAGGGGACAGGGGGGGCCCGAGAGCGCAGTGCAAAAAACCACGGGATCGCGACCCGCATAGCAAAGGAAGGCCCCAAGGCCATCTGCCAAAGAGCGTAGCTGAAACCTACAGCCAAAGGTGCTTCTAGGCGAACTGGGGATCTGAAACCATTTCATCTTCCGCGCTCCCACCCCTCCCATCTCTGTAGCATCACATCAAAGATCGGCTGTTCTGACCCCGGCAGTGTCTTGAAAGCAGAGTTTGGGGCTTCCCTCGAGTTGAGGATTCATACGCTTGAGGCCTGCGGGAGTCTGGCTGTGGCACAACAAGGCCCTTAAGATGCCCCTTAAGTGGCCTAGGTTAAACTGAGCTATGCCCCAGCAAACCAGGTTAAGTCAGGTCCTGGACCCTTGGCAGCCAGTGAGAACACCTCACTTGAAAGTGGGAGTTCTCCGGAAGACTGTGAAAATTGGCTCAAAAGGAAGCACAAAAGCACGAGGAATAGCAGAAAGTAGGCTGTAAAGACTGCTTTAAAAAGAGCTGCAACCAACGAAAGCTGGCTTCCTTGGGTTCCAGGCACCATGTCATGACTGCTATGGGGCCCCCCCGAATTGAGGGGCCCCCCGGGGGTGCAGGTGACTACTTCTTGATGCGCAGTCCTGTGTCTTGTGCCTGTGGTCAGGCCTCTAACTCACGAGAGGAGCTGCGCAGAAATAAGAGTTATCGCCGCCGTTGTAGTACCTGAGCCGTGCCGTGGCAAAATGACCCTGGTGGCTGAAGAAGGCCGCTAGCAGATCATTCTGCTCTAATCTAGGAGCAGGCTCCTGGTCGCTCTAACCTACAGTAACCTACTTGTCGGGTATCATCGGGAACTAAAGGTTAACCTTTTTGGTCGTTTGGGGATTATATAGGGACTATACTACCCAAAAAAAGGTAACAGCACATCGGGTCATGAGAGGCTACCTACTCTACTACTAGGGTAGCGCCTTCGGGGCGTTGGAGGGTTCTCGCTAGCAGCAGCCCGGCAGTTTCATTCCTTCCAAGGCGCATCTCCTGCTGCGCCGCTTGCTGCGGGATCGCGAGGCCCATCGAAATCTGGAGTGGGTCCCCGGACCAGCCTTGCTTTGGGATTTTAGGGTTTTGTTTTAAAGCTTGGTACACTTCTTTAGGGTTTAGAGTTTTAGGCTTCGGGGTTTTAGGGTTTAGGGGGAAGGTATGAGTAGAAAGACCGCCCATCAGAGCCAAGGCTTACCTGGACCCTAAGACACCTACCCTTTTAGGGTTCCCTGATATGATTTCTTTATATAAGTCCTTAAAACGGTAGGTTACTTGGGGCTAAGGTAGTGGTAGGGTGCCTAGACTCCGGTTGCTGACACCTATACGCTTCGGTGTTTTTTCGAGCGAAGAGCCTACCAAATATGGATTTCCACAGGGCTTTAGGAATTCTAGGGCCCAGGGTTTAGGGGACTATACTATAGGGGCCTGAGTGGGTGATGGGGCAGATTGTACCGTAACTAAAATCAGGAACCCCGGCCCCTACATTACATGCCTCCACCCCCATCAGCTTGTAAAGGCATTTTCACAGAAGCGGAAACGACAGAAAGTCCCCATCCACCCCGCAATCAACAGCCACGGCCCTGCTGGAGCTGCAAGTCGAGTGGCAGCTCTTCCTGAGACCATGTTAGGGTTTTGGGTTGAGGGTTTACGGTTTAGGGTTAAGGGTCTAGGGTTTAGGGTTGAGGGTTCAGGGATGCAGAAAATGAAACTTCCAGCGATCGCAGTCTGCGCAAGCAGCAAGCTGAACCGCAGAGTCCGCCGAGGCATGCGCTACCCTAAACCCCAAACCCCAAATCCGAAACCCTAAATCCGAAATCCGAAACCCCAAACCCTAAATCCGAAACCTTAAACCCTAACGGCCCTAACCCGTAGCTGAGGAGGCAAGCTGCTTGAAGTGTTCGAAGCCTCGGCGATTCAGCTCTGCAGGGATGCAGCTCGCGGCACAAAGCTCGAAGCACGTCTCTGGGCTCCAAGAGCTCTGCTACAGCAAATATACAATACAGAGAGTAGAGCTGAAATGTTCCGAAATCCAGACAAGCAGCGAGGAAGTACCTAAACCCTCCGTTGCTGCCATGAAACAGTGCATGGCTGCTGGCCAGCTCGCGAGGAAGACTCGCACGGCACCGACCTCGTCGGTCTGGAAGCTTGAGACCACGTTCGCCAAGCCGGCTTGCTCGAGCATTGCCTCGCAAAACAAGAACCATACAGAATGGTGCAAGGCAAGAACTCAAGATTGTATACAGACAGCGAGGGAGGGAGAGAGAGAGAGAGAGAGAGAGAGAAGAGAGAGAGAAGAGAGAGAAGAGAGAGAAGAGAGAGAAGAGAGAGAGACGGACACAAAGGGATGCATAGGGGGAAGCACCCGGTGATTTGCCAGTCGATTGGGTCGTAGATAGGCAACCAGGTGGTTGAGCAGCGTAGGGTAGGTAGACCGGTGACCCGGTAGACAGGCACGTCGATTGTTTAATGAGAAACCCTAACACCTAAACCCTAAACCCCAGGGAGCAAGGGAGTGAGTTCGCGAGTGAATAGAATGGTGAGCGCGACATTGGTTGCTGGGTCAGGTTAGCGCATAAGTCGCAACGACCCAGACGTTTCCGTACTAGCTTGCCCCACCATCTCACAAAACACAAACAGGCCCTGCCGGGGTGCCATCAAGTCTCTCCTCCGTCCACCCCCAGACCCGAAACCCCTAAGCCACATCAACCCGAAACCCTTCAACCTGGACACTTCAAGAAGGTTTCATAAACCCCAAACCCTAAACCCCCTAAGCCCTAAACCCCTGAACCCTAAACCCCCAAAACCCCTTAAACCCTACCCTGAACCCCGGCCCACTCAGCTTTTGGCCTCCACGCAGCTGTGGTTGCAAAGCGCTTTCGGCAGGCCGGAAATGTCAATCCTGCAAGGCCCCTGGTTAATGTAGGGGCCGTTTTAATCAGAATAGGGTTAGCGGAAGGAGATTCCATCCAGATTCCATTGACCGCCCCCAAACGAGAATGGAGTCAACAAATCATCCTTGGGCTTTGGGCAGCGATGCTGTCAGTATGGGAGTTTTCAAAAAATAGGGGACACTAATAAGGTACCCCAAATAATATGATCCTAGCATAAGGGCCCCAAGATTAGGTACCCCCAATTTTCGGAAACTCCCATATCAGAAAACCATCGGAACACCATGGTGAGTCCCTCCGGCCCCAATCTTCCGTCCCTGAACCCTAAATCCACATGGGAGTTTCCGAAAATTAGGGGACCTCATTTTGGGGTCCTTATAATAAGGATACCTCCTTTTGGGGTCCTTATAGTAAGGATCCTGCCATTTAGCTCACTACATTAGGGTCCCCTATTGTCGGAAACTCCCACATACCAACCAAGTGCCGACCCAGCGGCACAGGGATGCCATAGCTGAACCTAGTTCATGGTTGGGATAATATGAAAAATAAATTCTTGTTCCTTATTGGGTTTAAGTACGCAACAAAAATGCAAAAAGTTGCCCAACTATGATTTAAGTACGCAACAAAAAACGCAAAATCTTGCCCAACTATGAGCAAGGAACATGGTTGCGGTTGGCGCGGGACTCTGGGGACTCTGGGGACAAAACGTGCGTTGAGTCCTCAGATGGGCGCCGCACAGGAGGTTCCCAGGGTGTTGGGCGGTTTTAGGGGTTACATAGGGGTTGCGGGGTTCCTTAAAGGGATCTATAAGGGTTCCATATAGGGTTTAGGGTTCTTATAAAGGGATCCTTTAAGGGTTTAGGGTTTTCGGGGTCTGAGGGGTTAGAGTTTCACACCATCTGTGACTTGGGCGCCGAAGATCAAAACTTCCAGAAGACCCGACCAAGAAAAGTGCAGGGCCGTGAGCCGTGAAGCGCCGGACCCCTAAGCCCCAAAACCCAAACCCTTAACCCCAAACCTCCGAGGCCTGTAAGCCTCTAAAACCACAAAAACCTAAACCCCTAAAACCACAAAAAAACTCTAAACCCTGTAAAGGACCTTTGCGGAAGCCTAAAACGGAGCCGTTAGAGGAACTCGTACGGAATCCTAAACCAAACCTTAAACCTGCAGACCCTAGACCTCTGAAGCCCTAGCGAAAACCCCAAGCCCCTAAAGTCCTAAACCCTACGCCCCCGAAGGCCTTTCAGGAAGCCTTTGAAAAATATTAGTACATAAGATCTTAAGCCCAATAAGGGAAAATATAACATGTCCCCTAACCCCTACGCACCCCAAGGCCTTTGAGGAAGCCCCTAAACCCTAAACCCTATCTGTGGCCAAGGAGCACGCTCTTGGCTGGAAACTCCTCGGGCTCGGGCGCTGCCACCGGCGTGGGAGATGATTGCCTAAAGAATGTGACGGTTTTCTTGCGTAAGGGCTCCGGAGAAGGGGCTCCCCAGAGGGATCCTCATAAGGTTTGAGAGGTTTAACAGTTTGGGGTTTAGGGTCTAGCGGTTTCGGGGTTTAGCTGTTCAGGTCCCCCGCAGAATGGAGGTTTCGCCTTCATGTTCGGTCGGACCCCACCCGACGGACGAAGCGCCACCAAAATAAGGTACCCCCAATTTTCGGAAACTCCCGAAACGTCTGCATCGGGCGTCTATGAGGGTTTTTCATGGGCTTTGTATAATCTGGGAGCCCCAGCACTTATTGGAGTTAGCGTTTTGGGAGGTATTCAATCGAGTATATAAGGACCTTACGTTGAGACCTCCCCAAATCGAAGCTCCGGCCACGACAGGAGCTCCGATGCACGTTCAGCTGGAGGTCCGGTATTAGGGGTCTGAAGATAACAACGCAGGATATGACGGGCTATTCACAGTGTGCCATGAAACAGAACACATTGGTCTCATACGTTGCCCTGAAGTTCGTTTTTTGTTGTTTTTGAAGTTCGGTTTTAGGGCTTAGGGTTTATGGGGATTAAGGTTTAGGCTTTGTGTGATCGAGGCTGCCGAACGCAAGTAATGACACCGGAGTTGCGATGAGTAGTCCTCCGCCCAATTGCCGGGTTCACCTTGCAGCGGAGTGGTCAATTGCCGAGAAGGCTCCATAACCACAACAACGTGGGGCCACTAGAACAAACAACAGTTAGAGTACTATTGCTTCTACCATACCCAGCGTAATAACAACAGCTACGTCGCGTAGAATAGGACGATAATGATTCATTATGCCAATAATGATGACAAATAATCACAATCGTAACTTGTTTTCGATGAGGGTGTAGAGTGACCTGCCAATGGCGGGTTCTGGGTCGGGGCTGATATGCAGGCACTAGAAGGGGGCTGGAGTTAAGGGTTTAGGGGCTAGGGTTGCGGGTTTAGGGGTTTAGGTTGTAGTAGGGCTGGCGATTCAGTGGCTCGTACCCCGCGACGCGGCGACCAAAACATTCTGCAGTGGGTACCCTTTTTCAGGGTTCGTTTGAAAGGGGTTAATGGGGACCCTTAATGGGGACCCATACCCTATAATGGGTTATACACTGGGTATATAATAGCTATATTAAGGGTAAGGGTAGCCCTAAACCCCTAAACCCTAAACCTGTAAGGTTGAAAGTGTGGGGAGTGTACTGGAAAAAGGCTCCCAAGGCGCTGACAACAAGAATAGGTTTTAGGGTTTAGGGACATCCAAGCGAGCGCACGCAATGACAGGTAACTTATGGAACTCATTTTGGCAACAGGGCCGCTCATCAGAACCGAGGCACTATGCCTCCGGGATTACTGCAAAATTTGAGCTGCGTCGACAGAAGTTCCCAAACAGTTCGCGAATGTGCTTCCGGTGAGTGACGCAGCCTCGTGTAACTGATAGTGCCTCCTGCAATCAAGCAGCTGTCTGTCAGCAGATCCTCTGAAAGCTCTGCCCAGGATTGCTTGCGCACGTCGGACGGGGTTGAGCCTTGCAGACGGAAGAATGATGCAAGGTCTAAGCCGCAAGGAGAACGTGTTTTCAGCTCGACTTGGAAGCACGCGCCCTCTGCATCACACCTCACTACATCTGAGGGGATAAGGAGTAGGAATGACAAGCAACAGCGGCTGTCGTCATAACAGGAAACGTAAAAAACGCAGGAGCGACACAAGCAGTGAAAGTCAGCAGTGGCAGTGGCCGTGTGGCAGTGGCAGTGTGAAAGTGGCAGAGTTACAGGAGTTATCATAACTTATAGGAGTTATAGGAGTAGTAGGAGTAGTAGTTGCCGTAGTCGCAGTAGCAGAAGCAGCAGTAGCAGCAGCAGTAGTAGTAGTCGTGGCAGTCGTCATAGAACCAGCAGTCTTTTGTCCTCGATCTTGCGAGTCCCAAAGGCAAGAGCTGTTGGTGTTCTGCTTCTGCATGAGCATCATCCTCGAGGCGGCTGGGTCTGGAAGCTGGGTTTAGGGACTCGGGTGTAGGGTTGAGGGCTCAAGGTTTAGTGTTTACAGGTTAGGGTTTCAGGACTTCAGGCGTTGAGGGACAAGGTTTGGGGGCTTAGGCTTCGGGGCCCAAGCTGGTTTAAGGTCTAGGGTTCGAGGGTTCGGGGATTCCGGCTTTGGCGTGAAAGCGGAGCTCGAAGGAGGGATTCCGTTAAGGGCAGATCCTGGTTACCCATCACTACCTTGCCAAGAGTTTAGTTGAAGTTACAGTCTGCTCTCACTACGGTCTCAACGGCGCCTTCCATGTGGAAGAATCTGCCTCAAGCTCTGATGTTACCACAGTACCTCCTGCAATAGGAGACCAGAAGCTCGGAAAGGGCATCAGCGACCCCACACCTTCACAATGCAACCCCCCGCACACTGCACCGGAATTGAATTTCAAGTTTCTGTCAAGTTTGCATGACTGGGGCCATGCTGCCAGGGCGCTTGAAACACAAGTGAGGTCGGCGGGCGGGGATCTGGTCTATTTCGGTGGCAGCTCCGAGCCCAGACGCGACGGGGCACTTGGCTAGTTGCCCGAGGTCGTCACGCATACATGGGCACACATACTTCTTGCTGCACGTAAAATGTCTAATTATATAAGTACAGATATAAGGAAAAACTAGAAAAACATACCCAAGTGTACCGGTATCTATGTGTCTACGTATGTAAATATATGTAGACATGCACGCATGGAAATGTGTGTGTGTGTGCGCCCGCGCATGCAGGCATGTGCCTCTGTGTGAGAACACGCTGGTCCGCATGCCATATGTATGGATTAGAGTATATGTGTTTCTGCAGCTATGCGACAGGAACGTGAGTGCATGCAGGTGCATACAAACCTTACCAAGATGCACGGATGTAAGTATGTACATATTATTAGTTACAACTTACAAACACGTATGTGTGTATACATGAACAGCCACACACACATATATATATATATAGACACATATGCATATGCAAGCGGCGTGTGTATGTGTGTATCAGTGTGTATATATATATATATATACACACACCGTTGGATAGAGATAGAGATAAGACATGTAGAGAGATAGAAAGATAGCTGGATAAATAGATGGACAGATGCATGAATATATAAATAGCTGGATAGGTAACTAATTGGAAAGACAGATAGATCAAACAAATAGCCAGACTGCTCCAACAAGGATCGCACGTACCACGAAAGCCAGCAGAGGGCAGGCCGGGCAGGAGTTTCAAGTACAATGCTTCGGTATGTGGAGCTGCAAGCTTGGGGCAGAAGATGTTGGACAAAGAAAGCTCACTCCTCAGCTTAGGGTTTAGGGTTAGATTTGGCTCCACAAGTCGCCAAGCCCATAGCTCGAAATGTAGAGGCGATCATATATGATTCTGGAACTGTGACGCTGGGTGCATGAACTCGCCCTGGAAGGCCTATGCCCTTGCCGATCGTCATGGGCCAGAGCACATGTGCCACAACCTGTCAAAACTTGTGTGGCGGGACTCCTGGTGTCTATTTGTCTCGACTGTCCCACAAACAGCGAAGAGTTCAAAGAACTACCTATACTGCGCACGAGGCGCGCAATACTGATTGCACCAAGGTCACGCACGCGTCGGCTGAAGCAGCAGTGTGCTTGTCCCTGTTCCAGACTTGCCCCATGATACAAGCAAACCTTACATTTTGCATCTGCTGTCTCCCCTCTATTCCTTTCAGAGAATGCTTGACAGAACATCGTGAAACGAGACTCCCGACGAACCCTGTCGTATAACAGCCCCACAGACCATTGTAGTAGGATTTGAGGCCGTGCAAAGCCCGCTTAACGCCCGGCAAAGCCTTTGTGCCGGGTCCCTTAGTCTCTGAAACGCCACGTGACTCTATCTAATCCTTAAATCCTAAACCCTGAACTCTAAACCCTAAACCCAAATCCCTAAAAATCCCAAACCCTGAACTCTAAACCCTAAACTCAAATCCCTAAACCCTAAACTCAAAGCACCCCCAGACCCCAAGCCCACAGCTCAGAACGGTGCCTCTCGAGTGGTTTGCTGGACCGAGAAGTGTTTCTCGTTTTCCTCTGCTTACCGTTGGTTGTTAGGGAATGGAGGAATGGGGTACAATTATACCTACTATTACTACCATTCTTCCATTCCCTACTAACCAACGGTAAGTCTGTGCAAGGCTCATGAAGCTTCCGCTTCCAGGTGGATGGGTTTAGAGCTTAGTGGGTTTAGGTTGCTTTTTTAAAAGTTAGGTCGACGGCTTTCTTTGTGCATCTGCCCGAGTCGGCTCCTAACTAAATGTCCTTCACTGCAGTTTGGCAGTATTGGCTTAGGGTTTTAGGGCTTAGGGTTTAGGCTCAGGGAAGGAACATACATTAAAGTATAGAGAGACCTTGATACATAAAATCCATAGCGCACGTGGCCCAGTCCAACACCCTAAACCCAAACCCTATAAACCTGCCATGCTCACGCCGCGGAAATCAAGGCGAAGACAAATCCGAGGTCGAAAAATGCACAGCGATCCAAAGCTACCTCAAGTAGGGCTTCGGGTTCATATAGGTAGGGGCCTTGCAAGCTAAGTATCCCCTTCAGGTCCATATACAACATGCACTCCATTGAGGCCACCATACAGCCCTGTAAAGCCCAATAACACCTTCAAGCCCCCAAAAGCTCGTGAGGGTGAGCCGCTATCTCGCAGAGCTGGTCGAGGCTGATGCCCCACCTCTGCAACAACAATAATGATAAATAATGATAGTAGTAGCAGTAGTAGTAGTAGTAGTAGTAGTAGTAGTAGTAGTAGTAGTAGTAGTAGTAGTAGTAGTAGTAGTAGTAGTAGTACTAATAACAATAACAGTCTATATATATATATATATATTAATAATAATAAAAATAATAAAAATAGTAAAAATAATAATAATAATAATAATAATAATAATAATAATAATAATAATAATAATAAGAACAATAATAAGAACAATAATAAGAATAATAATAAGAATAATAATAAGAATAATAATAAGAATAATAATAATAATAACAATAATAAAGCAACCGGCATCAGTCACCAGGGCGTTCGGCTAGGGCCCCGGGATTTAAGGCTTCTTGTTTAGTTTTGGGTTTAGAGCTTCGGGTGGTGATCTGGGGGTAGGGCTTTAAATTACAACAGAAGCCTAAATGAGCAGACTCCCGGAGTTTGGGTGCTTTGGCACGATGAACAAATTGGAACACCGAAGCTTCAGGCTACTGATACTAATACTCCGTGCTAAGGCCCGTATATAAAGTGAGTGCGGCTGGGGGGGCAATTTTTTTGTGGTCTTGAACCTTTCTCATGAAGGCTTATCTTTTCGGGGATCGCACCATCGCTGGTCCTGCGATGGAAGAAACCCTAGCGGGCCCTAGTTAAACAAGACCTGCTAATCCCCAAAAAAAACATAAAATGCCTGAACAACTGAAGACCCTTCAACCCTTGCAGAACTCCTCCAACGAACCTGTGGAGCTCTTGTAGGACCCTTGAAGAACCCACCAATTCACAGCCTTCTCAACCCTATACCCTGAACCATAAACAAACACCCTAAACCCTAAACCCTAAACCTGAACCCTAAACTCGAATCCTAAACTTCCAAACCAGGCCTGTCCGGCGGCACGCCACGCTGAAGCAAAGCAGAAGGCGCAGGCACTCGCACGGTGCCGGGCCTGCGGCGAAAATTGTCAGCGGATTTCGGTGGTTTATGGTGTGGAGCCCTACACCCTAGGTCCTCTCTAAAATGTCACAAAGTGTTCTTCCCGGCCTTCTTTGCAAGTCGCCTCGGTCGGAATAGAAACCTCGGATGGCACGAAAGATCTCTCCTGGTCCATGCTGGATGTTAACACGACAGCAGCAGCTAGTCACCAAGAGCAATGACATGAAGATGCTGATGATGATGACGATGATGACGACGATGGTGATGAGTATTCGTGCTCCTCTTGTTGCTATAACTCGTTGTGCTTGGTTCGAGCACGCGCAGCGGCAACCACGTAGCGGTAGCCCCGGCTTCGTGAGGCCAAGGGCAGACCAGACAGCTCCCTTCAATGCTGCAGGACAGTGCAAAGGGATGCAGCAAAGGCATAAGTATCTTCAAGCTCGCTCCGTACAGCTCCCAAATGTTTTCAGTTCAGGTGTCCCGCGCCCCAAGCGAAGGAAGCCATCATGACTCCACACGGCGTTCCGAACCCTACACCGCCACATTTTCAAGCCAATACACCCAAAAATCCGATGATAACACCAAAAACTCTTTGCTACCACCCAAACCCGAAAACTGTCTACAAACCTGAACCCCAACCCCAAAAGCCTGCAAAACACCCTTCCGCCGCTTGTGTCGGAGAGCTGGTCAGGGACGTCTGGGAAGCGAGACGCGACATTGACGGGCTCGGGTTCATCAACCTGGGTGAATGTCCGGGTGATTGCATAGTACCAACAATGCGAACAAACACATAGCCATGTAATGTTGATCTCAGGCATTCGCAGGCCGAAATAGTTAGACCAATGCTTTCGTTGGGGGAAGTAGATTGCATCGTAGAAGAAATTTTTGAGGCCCATGTATTAACTTGTCAGACTTGCTATCCGAAGCAGCAACACACATGTTTCTGGTGTAGGGATTTAGGGGTTCTGGGAAATAGGGTGTCGAGGGGTTTGAAGGGTTTTGGGGGGTTTGGGTGGCATTCGGTGTTTGCGGCGTTTCGATTTTGGGGTTGGAAGGTTTAGTTCAGGCGCAATGCCCGCATGGATAGGGGAGGTGTCCCGGCCTAGTTTGCAAGCAATGCTCCCCACTAACCCAGAGCCTGCAAGCCACCTTCTCTACGACCTCACGCTACATGAGCTGCCATGCCACGGCATGCGTGCGGTTGCGGCCGGGGAAAGCCTGCACCCAAAGCTGCAAGAAGCATGCGCTTCCACGGGATGTCGTGTCGGGTTGTGAGGTTCAGGGCCGGGGTTTAGACGATGCGGAACACAAATTCCAGTTCCAGAAGATGCAGAGCCCTACTACAGACTAGAAGGACCGCTAAACCAGGTAATATGGAAGTCTTAACGGCTAGAATAAGGCCTTGGGGTATATTGCAATATTGAATATTGGGAATTGTCCCTATTTTGGCTCCTCTATGGAACCCCAGAAACCACCAAAAAACAACCGTCTATCTAGAACCCTGTTAAGACCCTATTCTCATCATGAAGGCCCTACATTCCGGAGCCCTCATACCAATCCTAAGTATGACGATCTTTTAAACAGAAAGTCCAACGGGAAAAGGAGGGACCCTTAATAAGGACCCCTAGGTATATACCCTTAACATAGGGGTAGGGGTCCCCATTAAGGGTCCCTCCTTTTCCCCTTTGAGAAGGACCCCCCGAAAGCTGCAGTTTGCGCCTGTTTGGTGAGGCAGGTCGAACCACCGGGGCCGACAAGGAAGGCATTGCCGGCGGCGAAAGCCTGGACTAAGGTGGTTTCGGTTGATAATAGAAATCCTGCATTACCCATAAGAAGGAATATGCCATAATTCCTATAGTTTGGGGTCCTTAAGGTAATGCAGGATTTTTTTCATCAACCGTTTCTTATGCTTGACGACTTAGGTTTCTGTTTGGTGTGTTTAGGGTCTTGGTCAAGGTCTCGGGTTTAGGTGTTGGCACCAGAAGACGTCAAAGCCGTGCAGAAACTTTTGTTGAAACCCATATCGAGCGCACATAACATAGAAGAGTCCGAAAACTCCAAGCCATAAAGCTGCATAGAAACCCCGACAGAAACTCCAAGAACCGCCTTTATTGAAACCCTTAGAACCCGAAAACACTTAACCCTGAACCCAAACCCTAAACCCTTAACCCTAAGCCCTCAACCCTAAACCCTTAGCCCTAAACCCTAAACTGCACACCCTTAACCCTAAACACAAAACCCGCCTCTCTGGCGACGCTGGCCTCGCCACATCGCCTTCCTTTGGGCTTCGAAGAACCGCCTCGGCTTTCGGGCGCAGGACTTCGAGGTGTTAGGACTCCTGCGCATGAAGGGTTCTAGGGTTGTAGGGCTTTTAGGGTTTAGGGCTTAGGGGTTATAGGGCTTTAGGGTTTGGGGTTTAGGGGTTGATGGGGTTCAAGAAGCTCTGGCGAGCGTTCCATCTGGGACCCCATTTCCTCGTGCAGTGAACCCGAAATCCGCAAGCTGACATACAACCCTAGACTCCAAGGGTAAAAGGAGGGACCCTTAATAAGGACCCCTAGGTGTATACCTCAATATAGCTATTATATAAACCCAGTATACAGCCCATTATAGGGTAGGGGTCCCCATTAAGGGCCCCTCCTTTTCCCCGTTGATAGACGTTTAATCCTTTATCCCCTTACGCCCTAACCCGTAAGTCAAAAACCCTGGCTGTCCGAAGGGCGAGTTGGTGAGCTTGATCATGGAAACACTACAAAATTGATTGAAACCTTATATACTCACCTATTCCTTCAGTATTATACTATAATATTATGCCGCAAAAACCCTTAATTATAAAGGCATTCAGCCGACTAACTATATTACCTTGTCAAAAGGGTCTTCAACGAAAGATCCTGCATGCGCTTGGCTATATTCCTCTATTTGGGGCCCCCATCGAAAAATCCTACAATATTTCCCCCAAACCCTGAGCCCTCAACCCTAAACCTAAACCCTAATCCCTAAACCCCAAACCCTGATACCTAAACCTTGAAACACTCTTTAGGGAGACAGTCTTCTGCCCAGAAGCGCCCATGGAGCTGCGAGGATCCTCGAGGGGCCGCACCTGGGCCACAAAGGGACCAAGCCAAATTTGGGGTTCATGGGTGCAGGGGTCTAGGGGTGCAAGGGCGTAGGGGTTTGGCGTTTAGGGTTCAGGGTTTAGGGGGCGGGGTTTGGGATCTATCTGACGGTTTGCAGAGTATGATGTGAACAAGATACTACTAAATACATCGCGCAATACTCTATACTATACCGTACCGTACTAAACTCTACTAGTAGTGTCTTTGCCAATGGCTGTATAAAACGGAGCTACTTCATCACAGGTCGCAGGGCATAGGGCTTCGGCTGGATCTTCTGTAGCGAACTTCATGTCTTGGGCTTAGGGCCTGGTAGGGTATAGAGCTCAGAGTTTAGGGTTTCGGGTATAGAGATTGGAGTTTAGAGTTTAGGGGTTTAGGGGCTTGGGGTTTAGGGGTTTAAGGGTTCAGGGTTTAAGGTTTAGGCTTTAGGGGTTCAGGGGTTCTACACTTTAGGGCTCAAGGGGTGGTAGGTTGTCACACATTGTGATGCAGCCTCACTACTCCGAATCAGGGGGTGGAGGGCTAACTAAGCCATGATGACGCAATCTACGAGTACATCATGCCAGCACCATCTACCACGGAGATGGTGCTGGCATGATGTACTCGTAGATAGTCTCATCATGGCTTCACAAAATCTAAGCAGCCTAGACATCCGAATAGAACCCTTTTAGAAACCTTCACAGAACCCAAACCCTACAAGCCTTAAACCTTATACCCTAAACCCCAAAGCCCCTAAACCCCAAGCCCCTGAAACCCCTAAACCCTGAGCCCCAAACCCCCCCAAATCCCCTAAGGCAACTGCCAGGGCAGGTCCGGCGCCCCTCAAGAGCGAGACGGGCCGCGAGCTGCCGCCAACTGGCGTGTCAGGCAGTTGCCCAAAGCGTCTTTGAGGTGATGGGTTTAGAGTTTTGGGTTGAGGTTCCCTGATTAGGGTTTAGGTTCCCTGCTTGGTTTACGCATCCTGCGCGTCCGCTACAAAAGGCAATGGTTTTAGGGGTCAGGGTTTGGGGTTCAGGCTTTGGTTTAAGGGTTCCTTGTTGGGCTTTGGCTTCGGGGTTTGGCTGCTTCGGGATGTGTGGGTCCAGGGCTTTCAAAGCTCAGAAATGTAAGTCTATTGCTGCATGCTGCGTGCTGACTGTGCAAATGTCTTTCATGCGCATCACTTCTGAAAGGCCCTAAACCCCTAAACCCTAAACCCCTGAACCCTAAACCCGAAACACTAAACCGGTTGGGGTTGAGGGCTTGGGGTTTCGGGTGGAGGTTTTGGGAGCTTGAGCTGCCTCTCAGGATCTTGGGCTTGGGGCTTTTCTTTATTTAGGGTTTAGGGGTTAAGGTCTAGGGCGTAGGGTTTAGGGTTAAGGGCTTATCAAGTACCAGGGGGAAGCAACTGTCTCCGCTTAATGCAAAGGCCGTGCCAAGCAGAACAGGCGTTTGGCTCACGTAAGACTAGGACCATACGGGAAAACTTGAAAGCGCCAGTATTACTACATACTCAGACCACATGTCACTCGTTCCACGTCCCAGGTCCCCAGCCCCTCCCAACACGTGCCTGGCCAAAGAGCGACCTTCCACAATCGCAGAAGGCTAGAAGATAGATTATAGATGGGAGTTCGCAACAGTAAGGGATATTAACGGCATGTTGCTCAGGGTTCTTTGTGCACTGATTTTTGCTGTAGCTTCCATACATGCTGCGTGATAGGAATGCGCTGCAGCCGCTGTGTTGAAGCTTGCGCGTCGAGAAAGTTGAGCAATATCCACTTGCAGCCCCTATGTAAGTATAGTGTATGTAGTGTGTGTGTATATATATATATACACAATTAACCACACATATAACCCTGTAGTGTAACTACAGTAGAACAGTACCCCAAAACACCGAAACAATCATGAGGTGGCGGGGTTCTGCTCACAGTATCTATGCGCTACAAAACCCTACGTCCCAAAGCCCAGACCCCCAAAGCCCAACTCCTACAAGCGCCTTAGGATTTACTGAACCCTAAACCCTAAACCCTAAAGGATTTACTGTTTAGATTTTGGGGTTCTGGTGTATTTAGGGTGAACCCGTCGGCCGTTGCTCCCGGGTTGACTCCCTAAACTCTGATCCAAACCCTGAATCCTAGGCCCTAAACCCCTCATCCTGAATCCTGAATCCCAAACCCTAAATCCTAAACCCTTCATCCTGAATCCTAAAGCCTAAATCTTGAATCCTAAACTCTGAATCCTGAATCCTAGATCCTGAACCCTAAATCCTAAACCCTAAATCCTGAAAACCCTCGACCTAACTTTCCGCCTTGCGGTGCTCCCTCGGCGGCGTGGAGGGCGGCGGCCGCACGGCGATGGCGCGGCCGGGGATGATCGCCGCCTTCGCTCCGAAGGTCGGCTGTGCCCTCTCGGGTTTAGGGTTTAGGGGTTTGGGGTGTGGGGTTTAGGGGGGTTTATAGAGTTTATGCACTTTCCGTAAGAATCTTACTAATTAGTTAGTTAAGATTCCGACGTAAAAGTTAGGGAGGATACCTCCGGACGAAATCTGAGGTCTTGCTGTGCTTTGCCGAGGCTCTCGAACGCCGGAGCTCGGAGACAAAGGGGCGCGCTGCGCAGAGAGGATCGGCGAATTGGGCCTCCACGGGAAATGGGGGCGTTCCCAAAAACTCACATCCCTAAATTCCTGAATCCCTCACTAAGTGTCGATGTCAACAGTCCCGAAAACTATTTATTACAAGGGCTCTAGAAAATAAAATGAGGCGGATCAAAAATCATCCCACATCGATACCTAGCTTACTTAATAATCCCAAAACTCCTGCAAACTCCCGACCCCGACCTCCCCAACAACTTGGAACTAATATAGGGGCCGAAATAATTACCAATACAGTTGTGGGGTTCCTTCTCATCATTATAGTATAATGGGCCCAGAAACCCTGTTCTAATTATTAAGGCCCCTATCTTACCCACGCCCAGAGCCCTCCCGCGGTGGACCCGCTCCCGTTCGCGCTGCTGCAGCCCTGCATGGGGACCGTGGCCCGTGCCGGCACCGGGTTCTTTGCCTTCCTGGCGCATGGAAGAGCAGGGCTCAGAAAGGGTTTCATAGTAAAGGGTGTTAACAGTTTCATGACAGGGGTTTTACGGAGCTAGGGTGTAGGGTCAAGGGTTGGGGAATTCAGGAATCTAAGGCTTGGCGTCTCGGGTTGCTGTGTGGTGCTTGCGCGCTTGTTTCTTATTTCTTTCTGCAGAAGGCAGCGGCGGCAGTTCTGTCAGTCTCTAATGAAACAGAGTTTAGGGTTTAGGGTTTAGGGGAGAAGGAGGGATCCTTAATGGGGACCCCTGCCCTATAATGGGCTATATAATGGTATATAATAGCTATATTAAGGGTATATACCTAGCATAGGTCAAGACCTGTTCAAGGCCTTACGGCCTCAGGGCTTGGGGTTTGGTGTTTTGTGCTGTCAGGCAGAAGGTCTGAGAGTCGAGTGTAGCAACTTTTTTAAAACTCCCGTTCAAGCCCCATGTACTAGCCTAGCCCTCCTTAAACCCTGAACCCAACCCTGAACCCTTTAATCTCGAGTCACGACCCTAATCCCAAGCCCTGAATCCTAAACCATAAGATTGAGTCTTCTGTCACATCGAGGGACAAAGATGCAAATCTAGCCGAGCTGCTTCGACTCGGCCCGAGGCAGCGTGATTACAACCTGAAGAAAAATCGATGGTTTCAGGTATTGTGAGTTTTCATGGTATTGGAAAAGACCTTATAGGATTTGCGGGCTTCAAATTATTTTGCAGGGCTTGATAGGACTCTATAAGCTTTTATGTAGAGGACTTTGTCGGGCTTACCAAAACAAGGTCTTGCAGGGCCCTTTTCCAGGACTGCCGGAGTTAAGGCTTAGGATTTTTGCTTACGGTTAAGGCTCAGCGTGTGAGGTTTTAGGGTTTAGGGGAAACTACTAGGTCGCAGAAATCCAACACTCCTATACCATGAACCCCGAACCCACGCCTCTGAACTCAAAAAACTACACTCCCACACATGCGCACACCCACACACACCAAATACAGCAACCCAAAAGTCAATAAGTCCCCTAACCTTACATTATGTTTTCATGTTATTATAGTACAGGAGTTTACAGTACATTACATACATTCTACTTAAGTCAGTCTCAGGAGTGCTAAGTCTGCTAAGTCTCGAGAAACCATGATTTCCAGAAGTAGGAGAAGAAAAGGAACTACACAGGACTGAAGGGTTTCTGGGAAATAGGAAAGCAATGGGAAAAGATAGGAAAGGAAACTCTCAATGGGAGAAGGACGGGAGAAGAATAAGTATCAAATAGGAGAAAAATAGAAATAAAATAAGAGAAGAATTTCTACAAATTGGAGTAAAAAAATTTAAAAATGTATGAACATGTTTTCCTCCTATTTTATTTGTATTTCCGAAAAAACCAGGATTCCCAAGTTCTTCCTATTTTTATCCTGCTTTGAGCCACCTGCGATCTGACTAGAGTTAGCACCAGAGATTGACATAACATTATACTATAGTATATTGTATTATAGTATAGTACGTTAAAGTATGCCGTAGTACATTATGGCATATTATAGTAGATGATACCGTACTAAATCATAATATATATATGTATATATAAGATTATATTATACGAGTGCGACCGAGGAAACTGGGGCAGCCCCGGTGGGCATCGGGGGCATTGTGTCCTAGCGCAAGCGGCCGCCGGCTTAGAGCTTGTAGGATAGGTTTAGGGTTCCAGGGTTCAGTTTAGGGTTTAGAGTTTATAGAGTGGCTTCCTGCTGTGCTCAGATGTTGCGTTTATGGGGCTTTTGGTGGAGTGCTATGGATTTTTGTGAGGTTCTTGGTGGTTATATAGTTCGTTTCAGGTTCCATAGTTCTGCAGTACAGGCCTTCGGGTGGCTTTAGGAGTTTGGGGCTTAAGAGTTCTGGGGCTTTCGAGTTTAGGGGTTGAGGGTCTCTAAGGCTTTTGGGATTCAGAGAAGGTTGAGGGCTTTGAGAGGTTCAGGGTTTTTGCAATCAGAGTACCGCTGAACTCCAAACTGTACCGGCACGCAAGAAGCTCCTCTTTTCGCAGGAGGCGTTCGCTGAAGACCTGCGCAAAGGCATCTGGCCAGTGCGATGAGCAACAGCTTGAGAGGTTTAAGGTTGAGGGCTTGTGGTTTTGGAGTTTCGTCGCGGGTGCCATCCGCCAGGCTTTTCAGACTCTTGATTGTGGAACATAGATAGATAAGCGTAGGGAAGTTTCATCTTGATCCCGAACCCGAATACCCCGTTGCCCGTCCACCCTAATCTCCATTGACTCTCATAAAACCTTCAAAACCCAAATAAAACAATGAAGGGCCTGATACCACCCTTGTTGAAACCGTATTCAGCATAAGCCATTAAAGCCCTAGTATAGAGGCCTAAGATGTTAAGGCCCCTATATAAGCTGATTATTAAGGAACCCCAAAATCGTATAGGAAATATCTTTTAAGGCCCTAGCGAAAATAAGAATCTGCCATTAAAGCCTTAAATAAAAAAAGCCCTAATTAAAGCCTGCCCTCGCCGCAGGGCCTTGATAGGCGGCTTCTGCGGGGAGGTTTCGCCTGCGCAGGGACCTCCCTGGCCCTCCTGGACTTACGATGGTTTAGGGGTTTAGGGTGTAGGGCTTTAGGGTTTCAGGGTCAAGGGTTTAGGGGTTTAGGGTGTAGGGCTTTAGGGTTTAAGGGTTAAGGGTTTAGGGGTTTAGGGTGTAGGGTTTTAGGGTTTAAGGGTTTAGGGTTTAGGGGTTTAGGGGTTCAGGGGTTTGGGTTTAGGGGTTCAGGGCTTGCAGTGTGAAGGGTCTGTAGAAGTATGAGGGGCAAGGGGGGGTTAAGGCTGTTAGGATTGCGGCTCATTCAAGGGCACGAGAAAGAACGCTTTGTTTTTCTTTGAGCCCCTTTTTCTGCGACTCGAGAGGCTTACACAGCCAGGGGGGTGCAGCACTTACGGCCTCACCAAAGAGAAAACGCACTCCACAACAGTGCCGTAGGTTTTTTTTGGGGGTTTGGCAGTTCAGGGCTCAGGAAAGCTTCAGGGCATGCGCCGATAGCAGCAAGAATAATAGCAACTGGAAAACTGGACGTTGCGTTCGAGTAGCTTGGGTTTGGGGCTTCCCGTTTAGGATTCAGGTTTCAGGGCTGAGGGTTAGGGTGTGGGTTTAAGCAAAGTTTAAATTGAGGTAAAATCGGCAATGGGGCCTGCTAGCGGCGGGCCTTAGACAGATTACGATAACGGGTTGCCAAAGGTTGCGAGAGCCCCCTGAAACCTCAACTTCGGAGCCCTAAACCGTAAACTCCAAACCCCCCCCTCCCCCCCCTTCGCACAAACAACATCGAACTGGACATCCTGCCCAAAGCTCTCTGACCCAGTGCGCGTTAGGGTTGAAGGTCCTCTGCTGCAGTGGCAAACGCTCGCAAGGGCGTAGCCGGCGCGAGGTAACCTACGCCAGCGAAGCAGAAGCTGAGACTTTCCGATGGGTCTGGGGCTTAGGGCCTTTATAGGGTTCTAGGGTATTCTAGTTCTTTTCTATAGTGAAGCAAACTTATCTTCTAGGATCCTAGCCATGGAAGTTGGTTAAGAAAACAGGAGATACAATGGAGACTATGGGTAGGGTAGGTGACTTCCTTCGGAAGAAACATGGCATTGCACGGGACATGCCGTGAACGAGGACGAACAGCGTAATGCTCGACAGGGGAAGCTCGGCACCAGGACTGTGCATGGTGGCCTGAAAGATTGGCAATACGATTCTTGCTTCAAAGTCCGAAAATCTATCTAACTATGGCGTCACATGCCCCCAAACCCTATTCCTATTCTGCCTAGCATCGGCTACACAGTAGCCACACATTAGCCATTTTGGGCGTGAGCCTGAAGACTCCCCGGCCAGCATCCCATTCCGGGCCGGGTCGCGTGGGTTTGGCTCCGGCGTCTGCGGCTCTTCCATGCGCCGCGACATAGGCGAGGCGATCTTCGCCTCAGTCACCCTTATAGCATCCTTTACTAACGGGTCATTACAGAACCTTCTAGAAGCCCTTGCAAAGCCCGCAGAGCAATCAACCGATTGAGGCTTAGGGCCGCTGTTTCTTTGGGGGGGTCGGAGTTTCATGGGTACGATGGCTAAGGGTTGGGGTTTCAGTCCTCCTCAGGAGAACCCAAAACCCCGCAACATAACTTTCTGATATCCGCACAAGGGGTTTTGGGCCAAGGCAATTATAGGGTTTAGGTGTTTAGGGGTTGGGTTGAAGGTTTGGGCATCTGCTTCTTGGTCCCTGATTAAAGCATCTGCTGCCCCCGCGGCAGATCGTGCCGTCAGGGGAGTCCGTGGTGAGCGCACGCCTCCGGCCGGCGGCGTGCCGAAGGACCTGGCACCGGGTGCTTCGAGAGAAGCACTGACAAGCATACACACATGTCAAACACATGCACCGATGTCTACATAGCGGGCACATACATACACACACATGTACATGTACATGCACATGTATGTACACATACGCCCACACATACACATAAGCATGTACATATATGCAACATATACATATAGACATACGTATACGTATACACACACATCTACACATACAGGTACATGTAGTTATACATTACACATACACATATACACTTCTATACATACATACATACATACATACATACATACATAAATACAGAAGTACATACATACACACATACATACATACATACGTATGCATACAAATACCCGGACCCGTTCCTATACCTACACCTACACACATAAACATAAACATATACATCTGCATATACATATACATGTACATATACATGTACATACACATCTAAATTTACATCTACATATGCATATATATATATATATATATATATCTATACATATGTCTATGGTATATGCCCGTACATATATGTATATGTATATATATATATATATATATATATATATACACACATGTACATAGACACAGCTATGTACACATGTACATGATGACATGCCTTTACATGTGTGTGTGTGTGTGTTGTGTGTGTGTGCGTGCACATAGTCTATCTGCTCATACGGTCTATTGCTTGTGTATTATACACATATATGTATATGTAAATGTATGCATGTATGAATTTATTTGATTGCTTGCTTATCGGGACATTCAATATTCAGTATGCATAACGAGAGAGAGAGAGAGAGAGAGAGAGAGAGACAGAGGGGTGTAGGGAGAGACAGAGAGATAGAGAGATAGAGAGATAGACAGAGACATATATATATATATATACACACACGCACAAACTCTTCTCGTATCTGAGAAGGGAGACTCCAGGAGCAAGAGTCCAGTGGGACAGGCAAGGGCAGGCGAGCGAGCCTTGCCGAAACCGGTGTCCGTATTCCCGACACCGAGTCAGTCAATGACACCCGTGACAGCCGGGTGGTGACCTGAGACTGTCGTATTCAAAGTGGCACTTCGAACAGAAGGGTCAGCATTAAACGACACAAGAAAAGAACCCCTAAAGCCCGAAACACCCTGCTTTCGCTCATGGTTTAACCTGCCAGGACGAACCTATGCAACGAAGCTCAGCCTGGGAAGCAACACGAACACAGGGGGCTTAGGATGGCCTTCAGCATCGGAACAGGGTTTTTGGCTTTAAGGCTTTGGACTGTGGGTCTGGCCGTGCAGCTAGGTTGGAGACTGCACAAAGGTATTCGAATACCACAAAGCTTTGGGACAGGGTTGCAGGATCTGAACCGTAACTCGACATGATGGGTTTGTAGTATAATCGTCTTACGTCACATCTTACAATCGTTCGTAAAGCCTTGTGACTTTCTGCAATGGTTCAGGTTACAACAGTTTACATCGTGTCGTTGTTGTTGGAACGGCCGGGTCCCTAAACACTAAAACACTTGACCCCAAACCTTCATAAACGAGACTATCTCTGCCAAGTGGCATGCATCGTCTCGTAGCGAGCGGAGGCGGGCACGGCGCAGACAAGCGGAGTGCCGACGACCTTTAAAAAAGCGTTTAGGTCGTCTGAGGTTTACGGAGTAGGGAGCTTTCTCATAAAGTCATGTGACATTGAGCATGACACTGAACCTCTACAGCAAGGTGATTAGACAGGGGCCTCAAAAATTAGAGGAGGGGATGCTTTAGTCATGTCATGGTATCAAAGCAATAAGGAAATTGGGGGAAGTAGTACTTCAACATATTCCAGTGTCCATGTTCCTCCTCCCCGTCGTTGCTTTAACTGCTCTTCTTCCAGAACAGGAGCCCAAGCCGAAAAAGGCGGGGAGAACTTTGGCTCAGGATTCAGGGTTGAGGCTTTTGGGGTCCCAGTGCTCAGGGTTTAGGATCGAGGGTATACGCGAGCCCTTCGAATCTTTCAAGCAGAGCTCCCACCTGCCCTGGACCCTGAAATAGTAAACTATAACATGATCGCACATTAAAGTATAGGTAGATTAAACTATGATCGTACGGTAAAGGTCGACTAAGAGTATCTTACAGGATCTATGATTAAAGTTATAATGTACTGTATTATAGAGCAATAAAACCGAAAACCCTAAATCCTAAACCCTAAACCCCAAGGCCCCCGGCAGCAGGCGCCCGCGACGTCTCCGGTGTCGGGGACGCCACGGCGACTCCGGCAGGGGCCGGAAGCAGTGGTGCGGAGGCGTGGCGCGAAAGCCTTGATTGCTCTTGAGCTTAAGGTATGATATGCGATAATATATACCTATAAGATGTTCATATGTCTACCTAATGCTACTTACTATACTATACTACAGCTTTTTGTTGAGGTTTAGTTTACGGTCGGGGATGGGTCTTTGACACTTCCGGGGGTGTTGAGGATTTGAGGGTTCGGACCTCGATTGCTTCCAGGCTGCCGCGGGGATCTAGCGAGCTTCTTGTGGGTGGGAGGCTTGGGGGATCTTGCGGCTTCTTTGGTGGACCTTGGGGTTTAGGGTTTTGGGGTTTAGGGGTGCAGGGGTTTTAGGGATGGTTTAGGGGACAAGGGCTAGGGCTTTAGGCTCTCATTCACCTTGGGTTTGGGCTCTAGCCGCTGGAGAAAGCTTCAACTCTCCTTCGATTTGAGGTTGTTGCCATCCTGATCAAAGCAAGACAAACGGGGGGTTTTGAGCTTTGGGCTCTAGGGCGTAGGGTTCCTGGACCCTAAAATCTAGTTAAGTCAACGAGGGTTGAATACGTAGGAAGCCATCGTCCCGCATTTCAAGCAGAAGATGCGGGTGCAAACGACGACCAACCTGAACTAGGCCAGCGTCACAGTAACTGGCAGCTTCAGACAAACAATGGACCCCAGCATGAAGCCCCTGAACAGCGGGATCTGCCCCACATGTTCGGAAACTCCGTCGTCTCGATTTTTGGAGGACCCGGCCCTGAACCCGATATAATTCTTCTCTCTGCCTTCCTTCAGCTGGGCGGCTGCTGGCTCTCCACGGGAGGCGGCGGGCAGATGGGTGTGAGGGCGGGGGGGTGTTTCTGGTCGAACTGCGGCAGAGGCATCAAAGGCGGCTGCGTCTGCATGCCTCTCGGAGGGAGCGCCGGCGTGGGTGGAGCTGGAGTAGCTGGGGCCTGTGGCGTCGGAGAAGGTCCCATGGGCTGCACCAGCCGGCTTGCTGGGTGCTGTGGCGTCTGTGGCGGCCCTGAATGAAGTGGATGCTGAGACACCGGGACGACGAGGGATCTGGTCGCCTGAGCTGGCGTGGGTTGCTCCCCAGGACGAGGTTGCAGGAGAACGGGTCTTGCCGTTTGAGCCGGCGTGGCCTGGGGTGCCTGGTCTGGTTGAGGCAACTGAGGTGCTTGGCGGGGTGCTGCAGGTGCTGCCGCAGAAACTTGTTTCTGCCGCAGCACGGCTGCTTGCACACAGGGATAACCTCAAGGACGCAAGGACCTAATGCTTCTACCTAGAAATGTCCGATCTCGAGACCATGAGAAATTCGACAACTAGGGCCACCACCGCGCGCACGTGGAGGCGAAGCCTAGGTGGGTCAAGTCCTCTGACAGTTATCGGCACGTAGGCACTCCTTACCAACGTGCAAGGGCTCGAGGATTCAGAATCGTTGGTTCTAGCCCAAGCACGGCAAATTCAACAACGGATGTCCAAAGTGGGCTGAGAGGTCCGGGCCTATGGCTTCAATCTCAGGGCTTTTTGGGGGTTTGGAGGTCCGGATTGAAGGCCTCAAACTCAGGGTTTAAGGGTTCAGGGACTTCCAGCTAAGGTCTCGATTTCAGGGTTTCGGGCCTTGGGGGGTTCAGGAAGACCTGGAAGCTTAGGTCTGAACTACGAGAGGCTTTCAACGCCCTACGAAAGCCCCGGCATCCAGTCAAAATGCGACGCGGACGAGCTGCGGGCAACGACTCATAGTGGTAGTACAAGTGGTACTTCATTCACAGAACGGAGTAGTACTTCACGAAACAGAACGGAGAAAGATGATGACAAGCATAGTGACAATCATGGTGGCCCCATCAAACGTGAGGCCTCCTGTCGCGGCGCCACCAATGAGGGCGGTGCCAGCGGTTGAACCTGTGCGGTTGAGATTTCGCTCCTCGGCACGAGGAGTGAAACTAGCAGGCTGGACTTTAGCAATATGGGAGTTTCCGAAAATTGGGGGTGCCCTATTATTGTGGGGGTCTTTATAATAAGGATCCTACTATTTAGGGTACTATATTAGGGTCCCCTATTTTCGGAAACTCCCATACAGGGATGGAGTTTTCAGGTAAAATTATGCTATAACCATAATGAGGAACCCCCCCCCCCACAATAGTATCGGTAATCATGCAGGCCCCTATATTAGACCTTCTAAACTTGATAACCTGATTCTTTTTCGGGTAGCAAAGAAGCTTGGCTCAGGCTCCTTCGCCGCAACCCGGCGAAAAGACAAAGTTCGAGGAATTTAGGCTTCGAGTTTAGGGTTTAGGGTTCAAAGTTCCATGATACCAGAAATCCCAGCGCTGAATGCTGGTCACAGCGCTGAATGCTGGACCGGAAAGAATTCACTAAAGATCTTTTCTGCTGACTGTTGCAGTGCGACAGCTTTATGTCCGAGCTTTCGTTGCAATCCAGGCTTCGGTGCAGCATCATTCTAAGCCCTCTGCACACAAAACAGCTCGACACGCTTGTGGAACCCTTTCTCTGGCAATCCCTATAGTAGCAACCCCTCCAGAAACCTGAAAACCTGAGAGGAAAAAAACCCTGGCAGCACCTGAAGACTCAGGAGAGCGCAACCCAGCCCAGCTGAGCCCAGAAAACCTGTGTTTTGCAAAAGCCTCTCAGGAATTGCATAAAGCCTCGAAGCCCGGAATAGACTACTACCAGCTTCCCACAGTCTTCGTCCCAAAATCCAGAATCCGACCCTGAACCCTACAGAACTGCAACAAACAATCAGCCACTGAGCTCCGAACATCCAGTCGATAGCTCCACAGATTCGGGGCCTCGGAGAGGTCCCGGGGGGGGGGGGGTTGGCTGAGTTTAACGCTTCTCTCAGAGTTTTACACGGGGTTTCTGTAGTCATAGGTGTGCGGGAACTGTAAAAATTGAGGGGGTGGTGTCATCAGTTATGACACCCATCCTAAGGCCCTAAACGCTTGCAACTTTGCTGCCGGTCTGCCGCGCTGCGTTGCTGACCACCAGCCTTTTCAGCTCCTGGAACCTTACATCGCAACCCTTACCTTTCACCCGTATCACCCTTAAACCGAAACCCCAAAAGCCTAGACTCCTAGACTCTAAACCCTCCAAGCCAAAACCCTAAAACCCTAAAACCCTAAACCCTAATCAAACCCTAAACCCCTAAACCCTAAACCCTATTCCAAACCCTAAACCCTAAACCCTATTCCAAACCCTAAACCCTAATCCAAACCCTAAACCCGAAACCCCTAAAGCCTCAACTATAAGTCCTCAACCCTGAATGAGGGAGAAGCAGCCGACAGCTCTTGACTGAAAGCACCCAGCGCCGGGGCCGACACATGTCCGCTGGCCGACCTGAAATCGCTCACCCGTGTAACGCTGTAGGGTTTAAGGTCTAAGGTTTGGGGTTTAGGGTGTAGGGTTTAGGGTTGAGTGCGTAAGGTTTAGGGTTTAGTGTTTAAGGTTTACGGGAGATCACTGAGGACTTTCTGGTTACCGCTCGTGCTTTAGGGCTGTGGGGATGTCTTTAAGGCCTTCGGGTAATCTGCAGCCTTAAGGATATCTTTCCTTTGTTTTAAGGCTCTTTTCCACAGCATGATGCTTGGGGCTTAGGACTCAGGGCTTAGGTTTCGTGACCCACAAGTAGGGCGTGGCTTCCGGGCTCTAGGGTTTCCAGGTTGCGGGTTTAGGATTGAAGGCTTCGGGGAGAGGATTTCGGGTTTCGGGTTTAGGGCCTAAGACTCATGATCCTCTCGAGTCTTCTTAACGCCACCAGAACCTTCAGACAACTATGGCAGTCGTGGGGATGCCTTGGGCCCACTGCTTGAGGGGTTAAGACGGTGTGGTTGTAGGATGGACGATGACCCGATGGATACTTAGCTCCGCAAGCATAGAAACTTATGATGTGGATTTCGGTACCGCCCACGATAACTCCGAGGAAAGCGGCACCGTCATCGAAAGGCACGCAGTGCAAGTGAACAAAGACACAAAACTTGCCCCGAGAAAGCTCGTCCAGCCCACACCGAAGCGCTGCATCACGGCAATGACACCGATCAACACAGGCCTGCCCCATTCTTAGTCCGGTGATGCTGGCCGCCCAAAGTTTCTATACAAGTCGACTACAAATTGCCCGAAGCCGATTCTGAAGTAATAGTTTTCTTGTAAGGCACACTAGATACTAGTTGTAGAGACTACTGACGAGTCTTCTCAGTGTTCGTGTCATTACCTCTATGGCAGAGTTTAGGCCTGAGCCCCAAGCTGGATGCAGTTGTGTCCCTGCACGGTCGCTGCAAGCCACTTCCCGGCCGAACGGGACCAGTAGGAGACCTACAAAGAACGGTTAAGGCCAGGGTTTAGTGTCTGTAGGGTTGAGGGTTTGGGGTTTAGGGTCTACGGCCGTCTAGGGTTTATATAGGTTTCAGGGTTTAGGGCTTGGAGATTACGGACAGGGACCGGAACAAGAAAACAGACTGCCGCCTTTCCTGCTGAAAAAACAAGCTTGCCAGAAACCAAGAGATAAGAAGTCTGTGCGAATCAGTGAGAATCTGGACTCTGTACGAACAAGGGTGTACAGTAGCACATACCAGCAGATGAGCATCACATCAATAAGCCGAAACTCACGCAGATATGCCACAGAAACTACATTGACTATCCTTGCATGCAACTTTAGCACGTGCGAGCTCTGCACTTCGGCATGGATCCCTTACCGATGGCCCGGGCAGCAGCGACAACAGCAATGGCGATGGGAAGCTGGATCGCTAGTGAAGGCATGGATCATGCAGAGGCCGAAATCATTCGACTACGGTATGAGGATTTTCCAGTATGAAAGAAAACCTGGCGGAACAAGATTTAGGCATGCAGGCCCCTTCACCGGCCAGGTCATGACTGCGGCAAGGACCAGATAAATCCTGCCAAGGTGGCGCTCGCAGCCGTAGCAGAAACCCACGAAGGCTGGCTCCTACTATACGGGCCTTCAGAATTAGAATACGGATTTGGGGCCATTATACTACAGTTACAATAAGGAACCGCCAAAATACTAAATTTAGGCCCTCATATATTGCTCTGACAGGAAAACAACCATGCCAAATCCAAGACTCCCTCAACCCTGAACCCCCGACCCCCAACTCCGAACCCTGCACCCGCAACACTAAACCTTGGACCCTAAATCCTGAATTGATCCCTGAACCCGAAACTCCAATCCAGAACCCTAAACCGTGAATCCTGAACCCGAACCCTATCGACAAAAGCTGTGACCCTCTCTGCACGCTGGCCTGGTCCCCAACTCGGAAGACAGAGTGAACGTCGCCTGTGCGGTGCTGCTCTGTATCTTGAGGGTTAGCGTTTAGGGTGTGGGGTTTGGCGGGGTGGGGGTTTAGGGTTTAGGTTCCGGGTGCAGGGTTTTTGAGTTTGGGGTGCAGGCTAGGGTCTTTCATCTGGCTGGCGGTTGGGTTCTTAAGTCCCCCTTACAGTATCAGCCAGCTACCAGAAGAGGCCGGCACTGGGTTGACCCAAGGCTCGAGGTATCCGATCGAATGGTCCAAGGCTGCGGGAGAAGGTGAAAGCACAACCACTGGGCAGAAGCTCGGATCTACGGCTCGCTGGGGGCTGGGACCATACTGTAGGGGCCTGAATAATTGGAATAGGGTTCTGGAGCCCATTATTCCCTAATGACAATAAGGAACCCACCGAAATAGTACAGGTAATCATTTAGGCCCCTATATTAAATCTGATGTCGCTGGTGGCCTTCTTGTGGGCGTGGAACGACAGCGGCGATGGGCATCGTGGACGTCATCGCCGAAAACCACCAGGAAGTGACTCTCGCAGATTCAGTATGGAGCGTTGGTATCTTGATAGCCTAAAACCTAAAATTCACTGCTCGAACATTAAGCCATGTAAACGAAAAAACCCTAGACCCACCCCCAAGAAAAAGAGCCTGAAAGCCAATATAAACGGATTTGTGGACCTGGTTCAACCTCGGGTCCGCTGTGTCTCGAGTCACTTTGGGTCGGGCGCCTCACTCCCCACTCTTTGGTAGGAGAAGGCAACGCATAAGATGGCTGCAAAGGACACGAACACCAAGCTTCTGCTAGGAACTTTTTCGAAGAAGGGCACATCCGTTCAAAGCTCAGGATGCCCCCGGATGGCGTTGAAGCACTAACCCGGAACTGTCGACACCTCCACCTTTAGCACCATTCGCGTCCGCGTTCCCTGCTCTCCCTTCAGTGGAACTCCGAAGGGAGGGAAAGACCATGAAAAGGGGCATGTGCCTTTGCTGCCACGTAGACAACTCGCAGGATTCGAAGACGTGACCAAAATGCTTCCTGCGCATGTACTGACGCGCCTCAAGCGATGTACGATGAATCGCGCTTTCCGGAGATCGCGGCCGCACCAGGGCTGTGGAAACATAATGGGACATTACAGCAAGGTATGACAAGCTATGCACCGTGCCACAGCGGGAGCGCGGAAGATTCGCGGTCCGCCTCAGGTGGCCCTCACCCTTGCACTAGCCATCTCTTTTTTACACTACTACGTAAGAACCCCAAAGTGTCTACCACACTGTTTTGGGGAATAGAACCCGGTTCTATCTTTACAAGCCGCCTTCACAGCTTGGGGTTGGGTATCGGACGCTTTTGATCCCCATCTTCCTCTCGCAAGGCCATGGACCCCGTGATGTCACTGCCTTGCTTTCAGGCCTTGCAGCCACGGTCTGTCTGTGGTGTAACTAGGCGTAACAAGCTTAAGGATTAATAGGGTTTAGGGTTTAGGGGTGTGCACCCACTAGCCACAGACATACCCTTGCGGGAACCTGTGAGAAAGCCGGCCATGCCCCGCAGTTTCTCTGAGGCACCAGGCTCCGGGGTACCGGATGTGCAACATCTGGTGCCTCCGAGCGAACACTTTGCCCTGTGCCAGCACGTTGCATCGAATCGAACATGAAACGCACTATGAGACAAAGAGTACGTCTGGCTACACCCTAAATACTGGAAACTCTCTAGTCTAAAGGTCTAAAGGGAGTGCAAGGAGGATCTAAAAAACACCCTAAACCCTTATACCCCAAACCCTACACCCTAAATGCTAGGCTCTTGCTCCTACAATAGTCCTGCCCTGCGCACGATTTGGGCCCTATGTATCTATATATATATATGTATATATATATACACAGACATATACATACATATATATATATATATATACATACACAGACATATACATATATATATATATATATATATATATACACATATATATATATATATATATGTGTATATCTTTATATATACATATACATTATACATATATGTATATATATAAATATACATATGCATATGTATTTATGCATATGTATATATAGAATCATTCTGAACCCCAATTAGCCGCTTCCGGGAGCTGCCCTCAGAAGCCGCCGTCCGGCGCCGTTTCCGGCTCCAAGCCCGTCACAGACCTGGGAGGCTTAGGGTTTAGGGCTTCGGGGTTGGTTTAGCGCTTTAGGGGTTCAGGGCTTTAGGGGTTGGTTTAGGGGTGTAGGGGTGTAGGGGTTAGGGTTTAGGGCTTTGGGGGTTTGGGGGTCTGGGGGTTTAGGGCTTTAGGGGTTTGCGGCTTAGGAAATAGGTTTGGGCAGGGTTTGGGGTTGAGGGCTTAGGGTTCCAGGATGTTCTAAGTGGTTCGTTTTTAACGGTTCCAGGTCTAGACTATCTATTGTAACACGAATCGCTGCAAGTTTCTTCGTTTTTTGCTACCGCTGCTAGTATGGCCCTCTGTATGATTCAAGGTTACTTACACTCATTGTCTCTACGCTCCACACACGATGCATCGCCTGGTTTTCCTATTGAGGCGCAGGATGCCTCACTATGAAGCAACCTCGCACAAAATGAGCTGCGATGATCATGCTAGGCAGACTCATAAGCACGGTGATCATGGGAGAGGCACAGATATGCTCCACCAACACGTTTGCACCCTTGTAGCTACCCGCCTACCTGAAAGCAAACCTGACAGCAACTCTCGATCCCTCATTCTCGGCGCGAGGCTCGTTGTCTGCCCCCTCCACATCTTCCAGCGCCAGCGGAGTGGAGGGCACCTTACGATGATGCCACAGCCAGGGCTCTCTCCACCAATCTGGGGACCTTCATAATTAGAAGAGGGCTTCGGGATATACCACAAACAAAATATGACCCGCATAATCCGGGTCAATATGCCGGCTTCTTGTATTTGGCAACTGCCGAACATGATAGCCTGCCTCCCTAAACCCCAAAACCTCACCTCAAACTTCGACGACTATAGGCTAGCACAAGGTCTCGGGGCACAGTATGCTGATCCGATTCCTATATATGCAACCCTAAACCCCTAAAGCCGAAAGA